TAAAGAAATCTGGGTCTCACTTTAAATTAAATGGCCTTAACTAATATGCACTTACAGTGAAATTAATTATTTGATTGACTTAATACATGCATATAATTACATCTGTATTTACATTTTTATTTAAACTGTTGACCATCACTTCAACCCACACTTAAAAGAGCAGTATGTTAGTTTGACAATCAGTGGTTGAACTAGGTATTGCACTCCTGGATCAAAACAAACACAAGTGCAGGTAGCCAGATGGACAGGAGCGAGTGATTTAAATTGTGTTGTAAATAAAAGCAACAGCACCCGATAGAAGGAATATTTTCCACATTAAAAGGAGTTTTTGTCCTAACCAAATACCTCGAATTGATATATTAGAAACAGCTTCTTGTTCTGACAGGTGAACAACAGAAAATTGACAATGATCACCTCAAGCAGGTAAACCTCATGTGTTTTAATCAGAGTTAAATGCTAACAATGTGAGTTTGAATGGCATTATACATGACATTTATTGCCATATACTGAAAGAAGCAGCAGATAGTTCACCTCATATCTTAAAAATAAAATAAACCATGTAAAATTGAACTTTAGAACTATGACTAAAAACCAACACATGATTCAACATGTGCATTTAATATTGTGCAAGAGGTTTAATATGTAGATAGATTTTAACCCTTACCATTTCGTGAGTGAGTGCATATTCTGTGCTTCTGAATGGCTGTATTTAAATTTCTGATGTGTTTCGTCTGGTGCAAACAGCAAAATTGTTAATCATTGCGTATCTCGTCATGAAGAATGTTGTTAGGACACACGGTTACAATGTAACCTGCTCACCTAATGTTTATGCTCGTAATATTTCTATCATTTGCTAATAAATAACCTCAGGTCGAACTCTGAATCTGCGTCTCATTTCATAGTCTGCTACTGTCCACTGGAGATCGCATTTTGGTCATGGACACATGCATTCATATCCTTTCTGAATGAATGAATGGAATATGCGGTTTTCCACCATGGTAACTCAGGATGCTGTAGTATAATTGCTAAAGTGGCATTGGGCAGGTTAAAAAAACAAAACAAAGACAGCATTCCGGCACAGAAAACCGATTTTCAAAGCAGAATAACTGACTTCAGCACTGTTTTTCAGATTAAAATGTGCATTTGGCATGTTTCTTAAATATCTGCAAACATATTATGGTGTTTTTATGCTTTAGAAGAGTCAAAAGCCCCTTTCACACAGTGATACCGGTAAATATCCGGAAAATTTCCAGAACGACTTAACCGGTATATTCAAAAAAGCGCTGTTCACACAGGCACGGACGTTACGGAAATTTTCCGGAAAAGAGCATTCACACATCCATTCCAAAATACCGGTAAATTCTGACATCATTCACCACAAATGAGCTTTAAACGGCTGCGCTTGTATTTGTAAACATTTGACTAAATTACAAACTCTGTGGATAATCAGTATTGTGAATAACTTTTGCAGGATCACTTTCGCATGTCGAGATGTTCATAATATGTGCGTGTGCAGGCGCTCACAGGCTGTTTCGCAGGCACACGCAAAGCTTGAAGGTAAACAAACAACGGCTTGTCATAAGCATCTCATCGATGATTATTTATACAGTTGGCATTAAGAAGAACATATAAACGTGATCTGACTAACTTCTAGCAGCTAAATGTGTCTGGAAAAATATTCAAAGACTTTTATTCTTATAAACCGCGTGGACGTAAATGCATCTGACAGTTGTGATTGGCTAAAGCAGATGTCTTACGTCAGCACGTTCTAGACGTGCACGCGCTTATTCCGTCAATCTTCCTTCTGCGTTCACACAGCGCAGCATTCCGGCAAATTGCCGGTAATGTTACAACTTCTCTTTCCGGAAAATAGCCAGAACGAATTTACCGGTATTTTCAAAAAGGACCTGTTCACACATACAACCTTTCCGGAAAATTGCCGGTAATTTTCCGGAAAGGTCTGTATGTGTGAAAGGGGCTAAAAACTTACATACAGCACCTTTGAATCCACCCAAATCACCAAATCTGTCCCTAACCCTACCCGCATACTACCTCAAGAAGTGTTCTGCAATACATTATGAATAAGTTCGTTGTATTTATTCTGTGATGCAAGTGCATGGTAGTTGTGGCCACAATGTAAATTGGGACCGAAATCTGTATCAACGAAAGTGTAAAAAAGGAAAAAAAGTTACTTTTGAGATGTTTTGACACATTTTGTTCTCAACAGGGTACTTTTAAAGACTTTTAATTTTTCAGTAACCTGAGTTCAGCAATTCTGATGAACTGTTTACGCCATTGCAAAATCTGAACTTTTAAGGTCTGTTTTCTTTAAAAATCAGCGATATCCACTGGCTAAGTGATATCCGCTATAAAGTGGGTCTCAGATTGTACAAGAAGCACTGCATTACATAACATTTTTCCCAGCCATGTCTGTAAAATATGAAAATTTTACCCCAGTATAATTAATGGGGCTTCTGCGCTAGCCTGACGATTCTGACGGATGCCTGTGAGTAAACCGTTTTTCGTTTTACACGTGAGCAACTAAATGAATGACAAAGTCTATTTAACTGATTGTATTATAATTACATTACAACATCGATCCTGTAAAAAGAACCGTATAAAATGGAAAAAAAGTCACATTAACCGTTCACCAGAAGTTTATCAGTATGGGAAAAAACACTAGCTCCACATATACCCTATAGACCTACAGTATGTAACATTTCAACTTGATGCACTTAAAATCTCAACTTCAAACCACTACAAAGAAAATTTCACTTCTCCATAAAACTGCCTGAAAACCTAGGATATCAGTCACTTTCTAAGACGTCAAGTCTCAATCCATCAAGCCTCTATATGCGGTGACTACTCAAAATCCTGGTTATTCTGCATCACAGTTTTCCTGATATTCCTTCAGAACCCTGGATTTCCTGTCAACCGCCTTTTGAAAACTCCACGCCATCACAAAGCAAAAAGAAGTGTCTTTGAGAAAGCAAAGTGGTACTTTCACCCTATGACTGCTTTTATTTTCATTTTAAAGCAGGAATGTGTGCGGAGACTGATAGTGAAGTGAGCCTGCATGCCAGATATAATATACCACATTCGATTTGCTAGAACGTACTGACATATTTTTGGACCGGTGCTGCGTTGTCCATCAGCTCAGTGGCTCCTGGCCAAACGCTAGCCTTTTTTCTGAAAACAAGCCTCCCTTTGTTCTTGGTCATTTATTGTCGGGGGTTTTTAATTCAACCAACATTAATCAGTAATTTAGTTTATGTCCACCTATTATTAATACGTTCAATGAAAAGCCGAGTCTAAGGCATCTTTTGTTCTGACTAAGCTTATGAAGGAGGTGTAGTATTGCGCATAATTCACAGGAACAATGCCTGAGGTTTTTGGACCTCCGCTGAACGCCAGAGTGCCCTGTGGAAATCTGTGAATGTCTGTGTTTTCTTTCTCACTTAATCTAAACACTATTCACCCACCCAGGACCCTTGGAGAGCATGGGAGAGAAATGTGTCTGAGCTTTGCTTTTAGTTCACATCTTAATGTTTGTGTTGTCTTTTGAGGAAGTGTTTGACTTGCGAATGAGAGTGTATTTGGCCTCAGAGTGGGATTGTACCTGAGGGCTACATTCCACAAAAGGCAGCCAGTTCCCGATGAGCCTAAAAATACAGACATCCACACCTTGTGTCTTTTGGCTGGCAGACTTGTGTTTTATGTCGCTTTCTTAGTACTGTTCTGTCAGGTAGGAACAAGTTAACAAATGATTATATATTGTACTACAAAAAAAGCTATGTAAAGTTTGGATTTTTATTTGAAAATGAAAAGAAATATTATCAGACACAATATTACCTTTTCCATATATCTTCCAGACAGACGTTATATCTTTTAATTAACATGCTCAAATGCTTTTTTGGGGGGGGGGTGGGCATGTAATGTGGCAGAATTGTCACAGCTCGACTTCAACAAGTTGGAGTGCTTCATGGTATGGCCATCAATGTCCCCTAACCTGAACCCCATAAAGCACGTTTGGGACCAGTTGAAGCAGAAACTGGATGATCGTACCGCACCCCCACGTGACCTGGCAAAACTTTGTGTAGCATTTGTGGAAGAGTGGAAAGCATTGCCTCAGAACAACATCATGAAGCTAGTGAGGAGCATAAGATGTCCCTGTCAATCTTGTGGCAAATTGTGAAAACACCCACTACTGACTTTGTCATTTTTTGTTATTTGGCTCTCCTTTTTATTGTCAATATTCGTGGGGTAATAAATATCAAACTAATAAAAATGGTGTTTCTTCTCTTTAATTATTGGTATTATTAAAGGAGACTTTTTTCATACTTATCATTACAATTCAGAGCAAATAGCAAAAGCACTCATGTAAATAACAAAATCCCTAACTTATTGTGTGCAGTGTGCATAGTTAGATAATATTTCTTCTCATTTTCAAATAGAAATGCATAGACAGTTTTTTTTTTTTTTTTCCGGGAAGTCCAAATGGTCATTATCATATGTTATCTTTTCTCTTCTGATGTTAAAGTTTGGTATTGTGCTTTCTAAAATTTACTTTGATTCCTTGCATTTATTTTTTTATCAATGCAATAATGTTTTTTATAACTGATTGACTTACATGAATACAAACTATACAAAATACATACATATTGTGTTTGTGCATTGATTTTGCACTCACCTAATTTAATATCAATTACTTTTTTGTATGCTTTCTATCATTATTTCTTCTTGCAATTGTCATTTTCTTTGCAAAACACAAATAAATGAGTTTATTTATTTTACTATCACCCTGTCTTGCATTAATGGCTTTTCAGTCCTTGTGGTGGAGCTTCTTTAACGCATTCTTCTTACAAAAGCGCAATAAAGACACAATACAAAACATAGCGTGTGATAATCACTTTCAGGAACAGACTTGTGCTGAAACGGCAGAGAAAGTGTGATGGCCTTGCATTATATTCCAGTGATGCTGCTGTGATTAATTCTGTCCTTGCACGGCTTGCTACTGCGCATGTTGCATGACAGGTGCACACACAAGGCTCCATCTTGGCAACCCTTTACCAAAGCAATAGGAGAGCGCGAATGTAGAGTCTGTTTAGGTTATTCAAATTGAGAAAGATAAGAAAAACGGCGTCGTAATGAACAGCATCTCAAGGATTCGCGCGTACTGAGGGAACGAGGAGCAGAATGCGATACAGAAAGCGACTGGTCATGAAAGCTGTTTAACGACCGATTGCACTGTCAGCGGATCTGTGGAACAACAACCTTTACCAGACTAAAATGGTGAGTGAAACCACACCTAATATTGCAAAAAAAGAGCGATCGAGTGTTTTAAATGTGCCCGATGGCTTGAGGGAGGCGCGGCGCGCGTAAACGCTGTCATTCCGTGTTGTATTTCCCCCATCATCATCAACATCATCATCCCAACCCCCTCGTCGTCATGGAGGACGCTGTTGCTGTGTTTTCCCGCTCCATCTGCTGCCGTAAACCTGCTTTGTTTTATATCATGCCTGAATGGAACTTCTTCAACTTGATGCTCAAAGCATCCACAGGTCGCTGCTACACCTTTACGAATTTGCATGAACAGAAAATATAAGCAAGTGAGCGTAAAATTACAATGGTGACATTTGACATGTGCCCCTGACAGGCTAAAATTACGTAATATAGGCCTCGTTGTGCATTCATTACTCAGTCAAATTGTAAAATATGTACACTGTAGTAATGAATGCACACGGTAAGTAATTATATTTATAGTGAGAAACTGTAGTAATTTAAAATTATTTTTAATACATTATTACATTTATACTTAGGCCTAATTGTGTGTTTCCTTTATCTTTCATTATTATTTTTCAGAAAAATGTGTCTTATTTGTGTATTTTAATCATTTTGAGTATATTTTTTATATTTTATTACATTATTTTAGACTCTTAAATTGTATACAATGTGTTAGAGAAGTTATAAGTTGTCCAGATTTGACTTTAACATATTTTCCTTAAACATATTTTGAGCATAATGTTAATTTGTTTTTTTTTATAAACTATATATATATATATATATATATGTATGTATATATAATACTGTAATATTGCAATATTTGTTTACTCTGCATTATATATTGTATATTTTACACTGCAATATATATTCTGCGTTATGAATACAGTTTCACCAGATGACTTCATATCTCTATTTGGAAAGAATTTATAATGTTAGATTGATTGGGATGATTCTGCCCCTAAAGTGCATCTCCATAAAATCTAATAAGAAATCTATAAATACAATAAAGAAAAAGATATAATTGAAATAAACAAATGTGTTATCGTTTATCATTTTCCAAGTCTAATAGTATTCAGGTACAGTAACTGAATTATAAGAATAAACATAATTCAATTATATTAATCATTATAAAGGTACAGTTATTTGTACCTGAATGCCTGTAAAACCATTGTATCACAGGCCTCAAAAAATACATCCCAATAATAACACAAACTCAACATTGCATATGTGAATATTGCGATTTTGATGATACAACAATATATTGTGCAGCCATATATTTAAAGTTTGAAAACATGAAATAATTTATACTGACCTATTATTTGAATTTCCTGCAAATACCTGCTCTAAAGGATTCTTATTTTAGATTTTCAAGAAATGTTATCATTTGTTTGATGTAAAGTTTGCCTATATTAATATGTTTCCCACCTCAGTTACTACTAATATTTCATTTGTGGACATCTATATGCTTATTCATATGAAAAGTTGGTGTTAGTTTTGTTTCAGCTGTCCATGAAGAAGTCATAGTGGCACACGGCCAAAAAGAAGGGTGTTTCTACTGAATAAGAGTCAAGTTTTCTTAGACTGTTTTAATAAAGCTAAATCATGTCTCTCTTTGCCTTACATAATCTTCCATAGTACAACATTTAAATCCACTACTTGAATTTCTATTCTTCATATGTAGAACTATAGCCAATGTCTGAGTGTATCGTTCTAAGGGGGGACATTAAGCTCAAATTGCCATGACTGCTGAATCAGGGAAAAGAAAGAGAGGGAAAGAGAGAGAAAGAGATGTGAAAGAGAAACACAAGCATCTGGTGATAATAATAGTGATGGAATGAGTGAGAGATTGGAGGAGTGTGCATGAACGCTGGCCTGTTTCAGTTAAGATGTTGATCAATGCACTGGCGCAGAATCAGGCCTCCAGAGGTGGAGGCTGGAAGAGTCTAGACAGGGGAGTTTTCTGGCAGCTTCTCAGAGGGGAATTCCTCACGCTGATCTGTACAATTGCTTCCTCTGCTCTACATTTTGGACACTCATTGATGGTTGTGTTATACAGCAGGACTGTACATGTGCACATTGTTGAATGGATAAGTGTTTGGAAATATGTCAAACTCCTGACATGTAGGCCTTACTACTAGCATGCTAAATGTCTTTCTTTTTTTCCAAAAGTACTTTTTAAATTCAGTAATCCTGCAAACAGTTAAAAATATGAAGCAAAGGGAAACCCGGGATAATTAAAAATTGTTTTACTGGCAGTTTCAAGATGTTCATTGAGTGGTGCTAAAATGCATTTTCAGCATTTTCATGTGACTGTGGCAATGATTTATTATTAAATTTATTATTTCATGATTTTTTAATAATTTTTTGCGATAAAAATGATTTTGTGGTGGTATTTCCCAGAAATTTGCTGACAATTTTGCAATAATATCTTGTTTACCATATTAGGTAGCCTACTATGTTAGTGACAATGACACAAATCATAAAAATAAAGCTTTTTTATTTTAGTCTCTTGTCAAGACGAGATTTAAAACAAATCTAAAACAGTTGGGATTAAGCCAAGGGAAGGTTGTATAACTCTTATTTTTATGCAAGATCTTACTTTCTCTGTCTCAGATTTCACTTCCCAGTGCATCTGACATCATTTATCTTACTCAGGACATGTGTTAGGGATTCCCCTACCATAATACACCTAATACACGGATTGCTGTAAAACTCATCAATGGCAGGGAAGTGTTTTCTCTTATTAACTGCAGGGAAACAGTTCAATTAAATAAATTATCGATTTGCAGCACATCATAACACCAGCCATACATGTAAAGCACAAATTATGTCCTTCAATTCGGTCATGTACAGTGGCCATCATCCTTGAACCAATCTCCATCATTGTAAGCTGCTTGCTTTTCTGTCTGTTCCATTGCTCCGTTTGTTAGATGTTTGCTCCAACTTTCTTTTGCAGTCTTAAGCGTGTCAAACTCAAAACGCTACAGGATGTCTAATCCCATCTTTGCATTGACTTCACATGTAATTCACTCACGCTTCTTCCGCAATGTCTAGAAGTCACATAAAACAATTAATTGGAAACTGAAATAAATATAATGTGATTATATGGTTTGGAATTGGATTTTTTATGAGATTATTTACATTTTTGCAATTATTTTGTGTTTAAATAAAAAATTTGCAACTTTTTGTTGATTTTGCATGGGATCGAAAAATCACAAAAAACTAGGGGTCTGTATTATGTTAATAATTATTATGTTGGTTCATGAACACATGCCTTCCAGAAATCTAAAGAGCTAAGCTAAGAGATTAGTGCTTTACCACTTTTAAAATACTATACAAATTTACTCTAAAGCTTACCTGAACCGAGCACAATTTGTTAATTACTCACCCTCATGCCATTCCAAACCCCTAAGACGTTTGTTTGTCTTCGTAATAAGAATTAAGTTATTTTTGGTGAAATATTTCCATCATCTGCTAGTACATAGACTGCAATTATACATCAGTGCACAGTGCTCCTGAATGCGCCCCCCATACTGAAACTGAGAAAAAAACTGTTGAATAAAGTAATTATTTTTGGTTTATGTGAGAATAAATGTATTCTCATAGCTTGATAATATTCTGATTGAACCAGTATAGACATAGTTTTGTTTTGAGGTTGTTTGTTGGGAACCTTTGTGTCAATGGAGGACGAGGGAGGATTTCACCAACACAATCTCAACATTTGGCTAATTTGTATGGCTAAATTGTATGAATCTCAGTCGTACATTTTGTTATAATTTGCTCGTCTCCCAATGACAGTTTGGTTTAGGGGTAGGGTTTGGGGGTACGCCTCCTTTTAAAAATCATGATTTTGTATAAATGAAATCATATGAATTCATATGAATTAGCCAACTTTCTGCAAATAGTTAGGTTTTCTTGTGAGTTCAGTCTGAATTTCACCTAAAAACAAAGGCCTTAGGGGGTTGAAATGACATAAGGGTTAATATTTAATAACTCTATTTTGTTGAACTGTGTATCAGGGGAAATGTACATATACATTACTATATACCACATGAGCTACTGAGCAAGTTTACTAAACGGTAAAAGCCATGCTTATGGAGATGTTTCGGTTTCTAAATCATACACTATATTTTATAAGTATTTATTGAGTGTTGGTGCAAACATTGTTGCCATTTTGTGAAACCTGCAGCAAATTGAATGTTTTGGTTCTTTTTGAGTTTTGAAAAAAGGTGAATGTTTTTCCAATGAGGCTAAAACAGTAGTGGCATAAATATCAGTAAAATACAGTTTATATTGGGGAAAAGTAGTAATTTTGATAATAAATTATTTCATTTATCATTTTAAATTGTGGAAACAATGTGCTTTTGTACTGTAAACCCACATTGTCAGACCACCCACAGTGGCAGACAACCATAACCATTTTTAAAGCGGTCACGGATACAACAGAAACATATTTCCTGAGCCAACAGGTCATCATTCTCCAAGACAGCCCAGCACAGTCCTGTCCTAACTGCATGTCCTCTGAGAGAGGACACTGTTATCCACCAGTAGCACGAGAATGAGTGCTCTGCTTGTAAAAATGGCTTTGAACAAAGACAATAATTCTTTTTCTGGCCATAATGTAATGACTTAATCTGCTAATGTTATTTTCCAATTAGTTTCCTCAGTTGCAGCTCATACAAAGGACTGTTAAAAGCAGGGTTAATACGGTCATGGAAAACCTGGAAAAGTCATAGAATTTTGGCATGGCATTTTTTAGGCCTGGAAAAGTTTTGGAAAAGAGAAAAACCCAAAGTTTTGGAAAAGTCATAGAAATTAGTTTAACAAATATCTGTATACTTGAATTAGGGCTGCGCGATATTGGAAAAATCTGACATTATGATATTTTGTATTACGATATTTGTGAATACAATTTCACCAGATGATTTAACCAGTTTATTTGGATTGATCGGGGGGATTTCGTAGATGAGTGAATCTCGAATAACATATAACAAATAAATTACAAGCATAGATAAATAAAATGTAGTAAAGATAAAAGTGAAATATAGTTTTCAGGTATTCGCTATTCAGGTACAGATATTGACTAATCAACACTGCATAGTCTTCACTGTATATTATTTAATCTTTATAAAAGTTACAAAATAATTCTTGTGGCCAGATGTTTTAATATTTGAAATATTGAAATGTTCACACAATCACAGACCTTAAAGGGACAGTTAACTCAAAGGTTAAAATGTACTCACTATTCACTCACACTTCATTTGTCTTAATACTATACGAGTTATTAAATTATATTCGTTTTGTGTTCATTTAAAAAAAAAAAAAAAAGAAAACTTATAAATGCTTTAAACAAGTGAAGGGTGTAATGAAAATGGTAAGCAATTTTTAACTTATATTCAACTATAAGCTCAACATTGCATATCCTGCGATGTGACTATTGCGGATACACACATTGCGATATCGATGCTGAAACGATATATTATTCAGCATTAACTTAAATATAGGTTAGTTGTCTTTACTTCTTTTCTGTCCTTGGCCAAAAACTTGCTCTCACAATGTTAGTGTTGTGTATGCATTATCAAAATCAATTTTACATAGATATAAAAACAAATTTAAACAAAATAGACTGTGTAGACATTACATGAAAAATTACATCATGAAAATGTACTTGAAAGTTCTGGAAAAGTCTTGCAAAAGTCATGGAATATTGGTAAAAATGTGTATGAACCCTATGAAAGGACTGTTTGGAATATTTTGTGCTGATCGCCATTTATTACCAATGTGAACAGCTTGTAACAAATCTTTATAAAATTAAAATGTTTGTTCACCAAACATAAAAATGATGTTATTATTTGCTCACCTTCATTTTGTTCCAATGATTGTGAGCAAAGCTGCATCTGTTGAGTGCATGAAGTGTCCAACATTCCACGCTTATTTTTAATGGTTGAATAAGTGCATCATCTGGGTATTTAAAGTGCATTTGTTCTTTTTAGAAAAAAAAGAATATTTCAGTGTGAATGCATAGAATATTACATATGTATGTGATTTGGTATGCACCAAATGTTACTGATATGTACAATAGTATCTGGATGAAGCCTTTATGATGCAACCTGACATTGCATCACTCAGCTTTGCAATGTCAGACACAATGCACTCAAATGGATCGAGTGACATCACTGTGAGGGGTAGGGTTAGGGGTGGAGTTAGGTGAGCCCATTAATAAGCATTGGATGAAGCTCAGATTGCACTGTATCAGGTCTGCATCCAGACTCCTCTCGATATGTAATGTGCTTGTGATTTAGTTTCTTAACGTATGTTTTGTTTCTCTTGCAGGCTAAGTTGAGTTGCTGTAATATGAAGGCTCTAAAGGTGATTTTTATGTTGCTCATCATCTGTCTGTGGATGGAAGGTGGATTCACCAAAGAAAAATCTGCTAAAAAGGGAAAGAAGAAAGGAAAACAAGTTTACTGTCCTTCGTAAGTGCATTTATTGAACCATATGTGGCACATTTTGTCATTAAACACTGCTTCTGTATGGCACTATACCCATGTGTAGTTTGGCTATGCAACAGGAACTACAAAAACAACTAATCTGCTTTAATATTGTAAATGTATAATACTGCGGCTAATTAAAGGAAAAGTTCAGCCATTAAATAAAAAGTTCACATTTACTCATACTTAAGTGGTTCTAAACGGTTATGAATGCATTTCTTCTGTTGAACACTAAACAAGATAGTTTCAAGAATGTTGGGGAAAAGCAGCTATTGTCATCCATAGTTTATTAAACAGGTCAATGAATCTTTAGCATGGTTTCATGTAGTTTTGATGTTGTTAAGGTTTCTTTTGTTGTTTTTGCTCCGTACAGGCAGCTGTCATCAGAAGACCTGGCACGGGTTCCAGCAAACTCTACTAGCAACATCCTCAACAAGCTTTTGATCACTTATGACCCACGAATCCGACCAAACTTCAAAGGTCAGTACACCGACTCTATCTAGCAACAGATGCCACCCAATACATACCACTCTGAACACTGTTGCAAAACTACAGACAAAAGCAACTCCAAAGAGAGCCAACTACAAACCACCCGACTATTCAACAACCTCTGGCAACCATCTACCAGTGTCCTAGCAAAACACAGAACACCTTAGCTGTCATTCATGAATCCCTCCTAGTAACTCCTGCACTGACCCAGAACATCTCAGCAGCTTCTTATCAATGCACCTCAGCATCTGCAAGAATGCCCCAACAATTGCCTGCCTGCTACTTACAGTACCCTGGCAGCCACATTTACACTGTCTAACAACCAAAAAGAAGACCTTAGCGTCCACATGACTTTCAAACTTTCTCTTTAAGCAACACAAGGATCACAAACCTCTAACTTCTAACACCACTTGCAGATGAAGCTCTCTCAAGGCTTATTTCAAGGTTTTCCTAACAACACAGTATAGTTCACTGGACACTTTATTAGGTAGACATTGCAAGTTGATAGCTTTAGGTTCAACCCATTTTACTTTCAGAACTGGCTTAATGATTCATATAATCGATTCTACACTGTGCTGTAAACATGCCTCAGAGATTTAGATTTTAATCTTTCATTGTTTTAGCTGATTTTGGCCCATTTACACTTAATCATTTTAGTTTTGTCGCACGGAAGAACTTCGCTAAAAATCTACATCACGTGACCATACAACACACTCTGGGCACGCATGATCAAGTATAAGCAGGAAGTCTATGCTTACTATTGAAAAAAATTATGTTACTAATCAACAACACTGACCAGAATGAACAATGAAGTGATTGTATGGACACGATGAGGTTGAATTGTTACCTAAAATAACAACTGAACTGACTGAAACAACTGAATATTTATAAGATGACTATTTCGATCGACTAGGAGTCATGTCAGAATAAATAAAACGACATTGAAGTTTACCTGCACAATGGCTGCTAAATTAAACAACAATGCCAGCAAATTTCCATTCCATTCCATGGTTATTTTATAGTGTAAACCAGGGGTTTTCAATGTCTCTATTAAAAGGTTCAGACCTGAATTTTTATTTGGTCAAAGGTCTGGAACAATTGATATTACATAACTTGTTTTTAATAAACATCCATAACATGCATCACAAGTCAACACTGTTTAATTTTTTTTTTTTAATAAAGTGGCATTTGCATTCAAAACACATTAATGCAAATGTGGCAAAACCACAAATATAAGTGCATTTTTGTACAAATAAAAAAAAAAGCTTGGGTAATAACATCTGGATGCAGCCATGATGTTGCAAGCTTAGACTGCATATCTCAAAGATGCAATGTCAGACACAATGCACTTAAAGTAGTTAGTGACTAGGCATGGGACCGGTTTCAAGGTTTACTGCGGTTTGGAAAGGTCAGTGTTTTAAAACTGCCAGAATTTTCTGATACACCATTCCTACAGTATATGTACAGTTTTTTTTTTCTTTTACATGTTTTTTAATTAGTTTTTTTAGGGTAACAGTATCTCATCTAAGATGAAATATATTGCATTCAACTGAGAAACCGGTGTTTTTTACCTATACATTCAAAAAGAAAATTTTTTGGAGTATCCAGACCAATCTAGACTCTCCAAAAAAGGTGAATAATTCAAAAGGTGTGTAATGAAAAGTTTAGGTTTTGTAGTTGTACTTTTCCACATTTTTAATGTTACAACTTTATTCCAAAATGGATTAAATCAATCTATTTCCTTAAAATTCTACACACAATACCCCGTAATGACAATGTGAAAAAAGATTTTTTGAAATTGTTGCAAATTTATTTAAAATAAAAAAGCAGAAAAATCACAAGTACATACGTATTCATATTGAATATTTTGCATTTGATTTTATTTCAGCTACCATTTATTTTTTTATTAATTAATTAAAAAAAAAAAAAAAACTACTAAACAGGTTATTTACAAGGTTTATGCATTTATCAATGAAGGAAATCCACAATTTAAATCCTTTACGCATCGTCTTGGAATACAAATTGGAGTCGGGTCCGGATTGCATGCCGTTCGCGGAATCTGGACTTTGATAGATGGTATTGCTGTAGCAAAAGTTATGTATTTTAAAACTAAAATACATAAGTGTACACAAGGCTTTAGACACTAATTCAAGTATTTTTTCTTTTTTCTCTATACTAGTTAATTGTTACTATTTTAAATCTTTCAAGTCTTCTGCATGCGCACCTGCCAATAAATACAAAAAAAATAAAATAACATTGCATGTTTTATTGCTTGTATATACATTGCGGCATATACGTCATTTAAAGTTATGCTACTGTTGGCAGTGCTTTCCTGATATAATGAAGCAGGTTGTAAAGAGTGGGAACCTCTGCTGCCTCCCTGCTCGCTGGCATTGAATGTAAACGTAGACCTTGATGTGGTTTGAGTGTTAAGAGCTCACTGTATGATTCAGTGTTATTACTCCCTATGGCCAGCCAGCTGCTCTTCATATCTGAGCAAGATGAAAGCTCCTGGCAGTCATTAAAGTCAACATTATAATCTTGGGAACAGGAATAGCAATGAAGTAGTTGGAACAGTTTCCTATAATGCCATGCTTTCCATGTCGTGTACATCAAGTGAAAACATATGTTTCATGGTATAAACCAAACAGTTAATGTTATAATGTCTGTGAGAAATTCGCTGTTAAAATCTTTCGTTTGATAGATGGGATTGATGTGCTGTTTGTTTGTTTTTGTAGGTATTCCTGTTGAGGATCGTGTGAACATTTTCATCAACAGCTTTGGGTCTATCCAAGAGACTACTATGGTATTCTACTTCACATGCGCTTTCATTCACATTCAGCATCACCCAGTGCTTCCCACAGGTTTGAAATATACTTACAGTGGTAGCCAGATTGAAATACACCTTTCACCCATGGCACATAAAAGGTTTACTACACGCGACAAACAAAAAAATAAGTAATTTTAACAATATTCTCATTTATTATGACAGTTTCTTTACAATAGGTTATTTTTTAAAGGCTGTTCTATTTCTCTCTCAAGTTAAGGTTCAGGTTACTTTATTAACATGACATTTAGTACAGTGCTGCCAAAACATTTAGTACATGTATAAAAGGAATAAAAACAGACAATATCTCTGGTTATATCTGATTACCTATTTCTAATGGTGTACATCTATTTTGCAGCCAAGTATAGATGGCATTTCATCCTCTCCGAGTATATTGTAAAGTTTTCTCTGTCGTTTAGATCAGGGATTCTCAACCGGTGGGCGGTGGCCTACTAGTGGGCCTCAGCAGTCTTGCTGGTGGGCCACGAGATAGCTTAAAATTTACTTTCAATATTATGCCATAATTTTAATATATAATAATATATAATATATGCTATATTAAAATGATCGAAGTAATGCACTTTCTCTTGTTCTGTGATTGATTACTTCTGCAACACGCGAGTCTGTTTATTCACAAACTGCATGAAGTGGAAGTCTCTCTGTGTATATTTGTGTGAACTATTTATCATATTCACATAGTTGTCCAAATTAATGTCCTGTAAGTCTTTTATAATGGACGCGCACCCAAACAGAAGGATCTAGCGAGGCTTAATGGTGTTTCTGCCATATAATGTACAATAAACCTGCATATGAGCTTCAAACATGCTCTGGCGGAGCTGTTCACTGTTTCTGTCAGCGATCCCCCAATAATATCCAGCTGCAAACTCAAGTTTTATATATATATAGTTTTATATATTATTACATTTAAAACAATATTTTTTTAAATAAAATGCTGATAATAGAAAATAATAGAAGGCACAACAAATATATTGAGAAAAAAATTACTTAATAATAAAAAGGTAATGCAAAACTGCATACAATTAACAACAGCTTTAGAAAGCGAAAGCAAAAGTAGAATTCCAGACATTTTAGAAGATTTACAAACCCCAGCCGGATGCATTGTTAAGTCCCAAAATGGTGCGTCTCTGTGGCTCATTGCAGAGCAAGTCTGTAGGGGTGTTGGTGGTTTTCGCGCACACACACACACACAAGTGAAAGAAAGAAAGAAAAACTCGTCTACTTAATCGATCACGGATGTTTGGTTACCTTGTGTGGATACAAAAGAGTGAAAAAAGATGATAATAGCAAAAAAAAAAGAATGAAGTATCACCAAATATACTTGGGAGGCTGTTAATTTACCTATACCTTCCGCTCAAGTAAAATCTATGTGTGTGGGAAGCACTGTTATTCACAAGTTTGGATTTGATTTGCTTTTATACTGTATTTATATTTTACTCTAATACTCACAATGCATTTATCTGATAAATGCACAATAAAAATAATAACGTGAAACCTAAAACTGACTTCTATTTTTACATTAGTTAAATGACCAACAGTAGAGGGTTGCTGAATAATTACTGAGAGATTTCAGCTACTGTCTGGGCTTTCACTGCCTTTCTGCACCTCCCTTTCCTCATGTGTTCAATACTTTTTCCCTGTGTCATTTCATTTTATTACACAGAACTTAATTTGTAAACTAATCAGTTTTGTTTTCTTTGCATTGATGAATTTCTTTGGTTGTTATCAATATCCGGTGAAAATTTCAAGACAACAGCACCTTTAGAAATATGTTTTTTAAGAAAATTGGTGACGTCTTCAATACTCATTATTACACCCCACTATATATATTTTAATACTTTCATAATTGTAGTTTGTTTTCTGAATTGAATAATGCCCCTATTGACATTTTTTAAAAGTTTTTTTTTTAAGTGTCAGATTGTCAAATGACAACTTCCAGACTGACGATTGCCTTCATGACTGTGTGCTTTATTTCGAGCTTACTGTGTTTACTTAACACTCCACGAGAAGTAAAAAAAAAAAAAAAAAAACACCCTCAGACCCCACAATCGTACATCTGGCTCCTTATGAGCAGTGACACCCAAAAACAACCCATCATACCAAGGTGTCTCAGATCACCTCCACTGAAAATATTTCTCCTGGAAGCACATCAGAGGGCCGTGTTTTCTGCCTAGCACTGCATGGTGTCATAGGTTGAATGTAGTTTCAACAGAAGCATTGCATTACAGCAGGCATTGGAAATAATGTCCCATTTTGCTGCGGTCACGCACAGGTGGCATGCGACAGAAATACAAAAAGGCTATTCATAACCTCTCCCGAGACCTGACCAGTAAGAAGTCACTGCCTACAACAGCTTATTTAGCTCTTTATTAACATTTGGACAAAAAAGTCAGACAAAAACATTTGTAAACATGACACAATAGCATCCACGGTGTGTGTAATACATCCTGAAGGAAAAACAGGACATACCAAGATGTGAATCATACACACACCACCCCAAAAAACACTTAAGAACCAGATTCCCTGAACTCTTTAGTGCAGCTGGACTGTGGCCATTTTATTTGGCATGTCGTCTGTCTTCGCGGTATCAGCACTAGCAAAACAAGCTCCTCTAGAAAATGCCACTTCAAAGCCTTTTGCTCACGCAAGCCGGCAGAGAAACTGGGGCCAGTCTGACTTAATGAACCCTGTGTTTTCCCAAGTGTAGATGCTCACATACAGCCCGAGCCCTCATTGCAGCACCCGTCTCACGCCTCTGATGTTTGCGATAGTTAGAAATGTAAATAGGAGCAGCTCTAAGCGCCACAGCTGTGCGGCTTCAATACCAGCCGTTATTGGAGCCTGGACCCTTCAGAGACGAGCGTTTTTTAAAACATCACTCAGGGGTCGTGAGAAATGCTGCCTGCCATGGCGATGCCGAAGACACCTGGGCTCCTCTGTCACCCGTTGGACTAATGTGCTGTTTTTGTGTCTAAGTTGAGACTTCTCACAGTTCCTGTCATCCAACACAAAAGCAGGTGTCAGCCCTTATGACTGCCATCCCACAACCCAGAAGCCAAATAAACTCTGGTGCGAGTGTACTGCTTAATTTGAACAAGCGTGAATGTTCCCATCTGAGCCCTGGTGTGCATCAAACATGCAGACTGAGGCCCTGTTTACACTAATAAGTTTTAGTTTTAAAATGCATAAGTTTAGCTACGGTTACGGCATCCGTCCACACTATGCCGTAGTTTTCGAGCCCCGAAAATGGAGCGTTTTGAAAACGCTGAAGAGGCTGTTTTATTTAATACACTACTGCTTCGTCTCAGTGTCCATCTTATCTAAAAACAGAGGTGGGGCAGCAGACATTCGCCTATCTGATTGGGCTTTTTGGGGCCTCTTCTTGTAAGTTCAGACTTCACAAGTTTGATATGGAAAACAAACTCCAGAGGACACGTCGGGTAAATCTTCATAGGGAACAGTGTACTTTAGAATCTCATTCACATCTCCCTGGCTATGCTGTTTCACTATCTTAACAATAAAATGAAAACATGATGTGAGGAACTGCTATTTATAGCAACTTAACAGACAGCAGAAATGTTGAAGCGTCATGTAGCTGCATATTATGATCGTCATCTTCATGCATATTTATAAAAAAAAACGGAGCTTATAACATCACTGCCTCCTTTCATTTTCATTGAACATAATAAACATACCCTCTCTTTCAGCAATCAGTCAGATGTGCAGAATTAGTGTTCACGGTTACATTAATTAGTATATTATTATATTTTTATAATATATAAATTATATAGGGCGAGGCAGTGGCGTAGTAGGTAGTGCTGTCGCCTCACAGCAAGAAGGTCGCTGGTTCGAACCTCGGCTCAGTTGCCATTTCTGTGTGGAGTTTGCATGTTCTCTCTGCCTTTGCGTGGGTTTTCTCCGGGTGCTTTGGTTTCTCCCACAGTCCAAAGACATGCGGTTCAGGTGAATTGGGTGGGCTAAATTGTCCGTATAGTGTAAGAGTGTATGAGTGTATGTGTGAATGTGTTTGTGGATGTTTCCCAGAGATAGGTTGCGGCTGGAAGGGCATCCGCTGCGTAAAAACTAGCTGGATAAGTTGGCGGGTCATTCCGCTGTGGCGACCCCGGATTAATAAAGGGACTAAGCCGACAAGAAAATTAATGAATAAATTATATATTAATATATTTGATGTTGACGCTGGGTGAAACGCTAGTTTGGACGTGGATCGTTTTCATTCTAAAACGCTGTTTTAAAACTAAAACTTTTTAGTGTAAACGGGGCCTGAAACCACTGAAAAGCTGGCCGAAATCTCAATGCAACACGGGTAAAAAAAAAAGTGATGAAAAATTACTTGTGACTGATCAGTGATAGTAATGATCATCATTACCATAATAGTAACGATTACAGTTTAATACAGATGACAGAATTATTATCATTATTTCATTTGTTTGGTCTGAACCAAACAAACCTAAGGAACCAAACTACAAGTCTGAACAAGTTGTTTTTGCTGGAAATAATATATAGAAATATATTATGTGTAAGATACTAGAGTTAGAATGCTTAAAGTCAGTAAGTATTTTTAAAGAGCCCCTTTTTGCATTATAAAAGGTCATATTTTGGTTTTGAGGGTCTCCAACAACAGGCTGATATGCATGCAAGGTCAAAAACACTTTTATTGTTTTATAATAAGCATTTATTTTTACATAATTATCTCAACGACACCTATAAGATTTGCTCAACGATTCATTTGTTCCCAAACTCCTCCTTAGCGCAATGCTAATCTGCGCTGATTGGCTGGCAGAGAGAATTGCCCACCACAGATTTTTTTTTTTGAAGAAGTCAGAGTGCAGAGTGTATGTGTGAGCCCAATGTAGGAGTGCATTAAAGCAATGCAGTTAAACACGAGCATATTGCTCTATTCTTAACTATAACACACATTTATAATTAATCCACACAGTGGGAAAACCTAAACTATATAGAAACTTAACCGCCACATGTGTGTAGAAATAGCTGATGGTGCCCCTAGCAATGACAAACGGCAGAGGATTGCCAGTTTACAAAAGCATTTAAATAAACAAGAAAGCGGCACAGGCGCATTTTCAATGTGAGTTAAGATGCGATATGATAATATGAAGAGTTAACCAGATACAGTACAAGCCATGAAATGGAGGAAGTGAAATGGAGGAAGAAACTGATCCATGAACTGTGTACTGTAAAGTTCCTGTCAAGCTCTGACAAAGTCCCATATATCGTTAATCTTTTCTGGTCCTTCTTTTAACATACGGCTGGCGAATCCCCCCTGTAAGCATGTAGATAGCTGAAGCAATGATGTGAACACAGCACAAGGCTTGACCTATTATGCTGTATTTAGGTATTTTTGCAAAAATAATCTTCAACAACTGACTCTTCACAGCCTCATCTTTGAGTAGGGAAAATAACACTAACTTCCCCTCACACTTAGATTACAGCATCTTTGCGACTTAATTTAACCGGGGTTCTGCCACAGTGTTTGTCTTCCTTCTTTTCTTTCTCGTATTTGTGGGCCGGTCATTTAAATAATCCCAAGTCTGCACGTGCGACATATGGGCGGGGCTTGAGTTCTGTATCAACCTCACGATGACAAGGCTAAGGATTTGTTACTGCGACGATTCATTTCAACCACTCTGAGTAATAGACACTCTTATAGATAAATCAATAGTTTTAAACATGATGCACTTTCAGATTTAAGCCTTAGCAGGATATTTCACCTCACTTAGAGCTGTTTCACACTGCATGAAAGACTTCACTTTCGCCAATTGGTGAAGTTTTTTCCTTGCCGCTGTCGCCACTAGCGACAGCTGAGTGTTTGGACTCTCCGTAGTGATTATTAAACCACGCTGAACTGAGCTAAACTGAACTGAACTTAAACTCTGAAAACTGAACTAAACTGTTTAATTTACTATAGTCTCTTATGTGAGGCTGCTTTGACACAATCTACATTGTAAAAGCGCTATACAAATAAAGGTGAATTGAATTGAAGGTTATTTTTTAAAAACCTATAATAGGGGCTCTTGAATGATTTCTATAAAAGTCATTAAGGCAGTGCTTATTTCATACAAAATACAGAAAGATGTTTATAAAATATTAGCTTACTATAAATGAGATTGCAAGTCAAATTAACCCTGTCTATAACTTATTTACTCACAGATCACAACAAAACCAATCTCGAGAATGTTTTTAAAACTTCAAATCATGAATAATGTGCTTAATACCTCATACTTAAATTATTGTAACTACCTCTATTATGGCATATCAAAGTCCCAAACGGCTTGTTTACAGATCGTACAAAACCCTATAGCACTAATTTTAAAGGCTGGTATACAGCAAGCCAATGCCAAACAACTAGCGCTGCTGAAACCCAACTGTGTTGTCGCCTCAAGTCTGGTTCTATCTGGAATCTGAAATATAGTGTAATTACAGCTAGCCTCTTTGTGTAGCTTCTTGACTAGAACTGTTTACTAGCGACGTCCTTTCACGGTCACACTCTGATTCGTTGCTGAATACCCAGTCAGAGCACTTTCTTCAGCTGATGCCAATTCTGCAAGCTGAATCAGAGCTCTAACGTTACCCTATTTTGAGAAGCAACACGTGGAACACACCAAACCCACTAGCCAAGCCAATGTTAACTGCTGATGCCCAATTGCCAACCATTGGCTTGGTGTGTCCTAGCCTTAAAGGGAAGAAGGAATTATGACCATGCTACCCCCACTCTAAAATCTTTACATTAGCTACCAGACAATTTTAGTGTTGAGTTCAACATTTTATTTCAGGTTTACAAATAATTAATTCATTTAGCCCCTGCCTATTTGTCTGATCTGCTCCACCCATAGTCTCCCACCAGAAGTTTAAAAAACCCAGATCTCGATTAAAATCGGGAGGAAACTGAGCCTTTGAAGTGGTCAGGCACACAAACTCCCATGTTATATTATTTAAGCTTCCGCATTGTCTGAGTTCAAGTTGTGTTTTAAAAGTTTTACCTGTTATTAGTTTAACTAAGCCATTTTTGAGCTTATACACCATTTTGGCTGTGCAGCCATTTTTAAATGTACTGGATATTAGTAAATATTTTGTAAAAAAAAATATAGAGCCCTATCATACACCCGGCGCAGTGTGGTGCAAGACGTGGCGCAATAGTCTTTTGGTAGTTTCAGCTTGGCGCAAGAGTCGTTTTGAGGCGTTGCGCTACGCTGTTTAAATTGCAAATGCATTAGCGCTCATTTGTGCGCCCATAGGTGTTCTGGTCTAAAAAGGAAGGCGCTCTGAGGCGGACGCTGGCGCGTTGCTATTTTGAGAAAATAAAATAGATTTTTCATTAGACCAAAACTAACCCGGTCTAAACTCCGGTGCAGAGTTGCGCCTCGCTTGCGCACTGCTTAATACGCACAAGAGAGCAATAGGCAAATATCTCTACATATGAAAAAAAATTTATATTAAGGATATATATAGGATATAATAAGAATAGATATAGGATATAAATATAAAGGATTAAAATATTACAAAACATATTATTTTCTAGCCTACATAAATATGAAAAATCACTGCTTTTATGTCTTCTTCATCTCGGCAGGCTTTTTCAGTTCATTTATAACAATTTGCTTTTGTATAATGTTATTATTATTAGCAGTATTATTTATTATATCCATATTTATATTTGTTTTATTAAAAACAAGCTTAGATTTGCCCACCTGTCAGGTTTAAGACTATATGGGGCATGGCAGGTGTATTTGGAAATAACTCAGTATTTTGTCCACACTTGGTCATTATTGTTCATTTATTCGTTTGCTAGAAATTAGAACTAAATTTAGAAATAGTTTTGAAACAAATATTTGCGCTTAACAAACGAAATGAATTATTTATAGGCTAATTGATGTCTGTGCGTAAAGGTTTCCCTATCCAAGAGCGAAAGTGAAAGTAGATCATTTATCTCTCATTCTCACGCAGTAGATGCTCTGTTTAACAGTTTTCTGTTAAAAAACTGTCAACTGTTAACTGTTTGCTTGTGAAATGCTCATTTTTTCCACTTAGACTTACTTTGCGTCCTGTAAATAGCGAATGCGCTCTTAGCGCGAAGCAGCTGGGTCTTAAAGGGAATGGGAGATGAGACTATAATTGGTTTATTCTCAAAACACACCTATAACTCATTAAGAAAATAAACTAGACCATGCGCCTTGGCGCAAGGCAGATTTTCCATCCTTAAATTAGCAAAAACGCGTCCTGACATGCCCTGAAAGCGTTTGCGCCCTGCGTTTCGCGCTCTGCGCATGGACCGTCTAAAGAGAGAGTATATATAGATGTAATAGAAATATGTAGTAGAAAGTTAAAATCACATCCCAGCAATTCCCAGCAAAATGACAACGCTGCAATGAAAATGGTGCAATTTTATACCTTCAATACTGCATACATTTCTTCCAATTACAGCCTTTCAAATCTGTGCATGGTAAAAGTATGCTAATATATACACTTTTATTTTATTTCAATGCTTTTTTATATTGGCAGCTACAATTAACTTTGAAATTGCAGTTCAAACTGACCCGTTACCACCATAATTGTAAGAAAAAATATGCACCATCCACAACACCCCAAAATGTAAAAACTCATAATTTGAATGACCCTAAATGAATGAATAAAATGCAACATAATGTGAGCAATTCCTGTTATGGCAAAGTCAAATATCCAACACCATTACTCCAGTATTGAGTCAAGTGATCTTTCAGAAATCATGCTCATCTTCAAGGTAGACAGTTAATGCATATTTTGTCTTTTGCTTTACAGGACTATCGTGTCAACATCTTCCTGAGACAACGCTGGAATGACCCCAGACTCCGGCTTCCACAGGACTTCAAGTCAGATTCACTTACCGTTGACCCAAAGATGTTTAAATGCCTGTGGAAACCTGATCTCTTCTTTGCCAATGAAAAGAGTGCTAACTTTCACGACGTTACTCAGGAGAACATCCTGCTCTTTATCTTCCGAAACGGAGACGTTCTCATCAGCATGAGGTGAACTTTAATGCTCTCTTCCCTCAGCACACCACACCTCTGTCTTTGTGGATAAAGACAAATGAGCTCTAAGTGCTGGTGACACCTACTCACATTATTTACCACAGCAATTAAAACATAGCAAACACAATAGTTTATCAGATGTCAAGATCGTTGTTAAAGTAGAACAAATTACCAAGCAGGAGTTTAATCAGAGGGTGTTGAAATTATGCATTAATCATATTTACAAGTTAATTGAAGCCTGTTTTGGAAAAGTAAAATATAAATTTTTGAGACGATGCAAAAAAAATGATAGACTCATTCAAAAGGGGTTTTTCTATGCACTACCTGATGGAAGTTTTGTCGAAGATCCCAGTTGTAAGAGCAACAATAATAATACATTTCTTGTTAGCTGCATCCTAATCCTCACAAATACTGCAGAAGACCTATTGGAACCCACATGGACCCAAGATTCTGATAGAAATCAGTTAAGTTTAATGAAGGAAAAATCATGATTTGGGGTTGCATTCAGTATGGAGGCGTGCGAGATATCTGCAGAGTACATGGCAACATGAACAGCCTGAGGTATCAAAACATTTGTGCTGCCCAAACCACAGGAGAGGGCAAATTTTTCAGCAGGATAGCGCTCCTTCTCATACTTCCGCCTCCACATCAAAGTTCCTGACAGCAAAGAAGGTCAAGGTGCTTCAGGATTGGCCAGCCCAGTCACCAGTTATGAACATTATTGAGTATGTCTGGGGTAAGATTAAGGAAGAGGCATTGAAGATGAATCCAAAGAATCTTGATGAACTTTGGTAGTCCTGCAAGAACACTTTCTTTGCCATTCCAGATGACTTTATTAATAAGTTATTTGAGTCATTGCAGCGATGTATGGATGCAGTCATCCAAGCTCATGAGAGTAATACACAATATTAATTATTTTGCACTGCACCATGACTTTCTATACTGTACAATATTTCTGTTAAGTGACAAGACTTTTGTCTAAACAAAGTCTATCAAAACCTTACTCCTAATTAAATAATTAAAAATCAAGGCATGATCATATTTTATTTTGGTAAAATAAGTTTAATCTAAAGGCCTTTACCTTTCTTATAAGCCATTTCTGATATTAAATGATCAACTACTATTGATCAAGTTATTATTTGCTGTTCCTAAAACTTGGATAGGCGACAAGACTTGTATCAGATAGTGTACGAGTAGTATTTAATTTGGCTGACATAAAACGATAAGAATTTTATTTATCGAATCGCAATGTTTATAAAGCTTAAATTAATATTAAAAATTAAGAGAATCATATGACATATTGGAATGTAGAATAAGCTTTTCCCCTTTAAATACATTTCAAAATATGATGTATTTTTTGAGGCCATGCTGCATTTTCAGCATCTGTACTTCAGTCTTACTATCTTTCCTTCTAAAATCATTCTAATAAGCTGATTTGGTGCTCAAAACATTTCATATTATTATAGCTGCTTTTTTTTTTTTTTGGAGAATATAACCATTTTTATTTATAATATTTGGATTAATTAAAATATTAAAAGAACAGCATTTATTTAGGATTGAAGTTTTTTGTAACACAATGAAATACTTCACTGTAACTATTGATATATATATATATATATATATATATATATATATATATATATATATATATATATATATATATATATATATATATATATATGTTGTTTCTATATTACTATTTTTATTAGTATTTGCAATATTGAGTAATGCGCTTCCATGCAGATCTAAGTTTGCAACCAAAATATGTAAAACGAGAGTCTTAAAAAGTATTTAATGTTTGAATGACAGGGAACATGGTGACCGAGTCCTCCAAGCTCTTCTTAATGCTTTTAATAAACCTCCAGGGACTTCAAGTGATCCTAGAATTGGAGATTCGATACATCAGCTGACCCTAGGATTTCACCTCAGCACTGACACCTAAATTACAGCTCCTGTTATTTGATCCCATGTGAAAGTTCAGTCCTTTAGCAGTGGTGGACACCTCTGTCATTATCTCTCCACTGCTTTATCTGCAGCTCCTGCTGAATGAAAGAAGTCCACTAATACCACATCTGCTCAAGACCAGTCCAAGGAAGCATTACGATCTGCATTTATTTCAAGTAATAAGCCTAAAAGTTGTCAGCGCAGATATATTTAGAGGTGTGTGTTTATGTGTGATGTAATTTAAATTGAAGCATGAAGACAAGGTGGAGCATATAAATTAGCCCATCCCCCTTTACAAAAATAGCCAATAATGTTTTGTTTTTTTCCCAGCATTGTCAGAATCATTGAGCTAAAGTGTATACGCCTCATGACAAAAAGTCTATAATAGCAATGTTGAGTCTGTTGAATCTGTCTAAACCATTCAAAATATAACAGTATAGGAGTTAAACGGGTCTGATGTTTCAGATGGGACACTTCAGATACTAGGGATCATTCGATCGAGGTCTGATGTAAAGCTGAGGTACTCTGATAACTTCGCTTATAGATAAACTTAAGAGTAACATTGATAATAATACCCCACAACTACTTTCATTTCGATTTCAGGAGGACTTTAAACAAATGGTTACATATAAAGGTACTCACAATTGCACAGCCCATTATAGTTTGAACAAATGTGAGTTGTTAGTGTGGTCACTGTGCCAGCCATGCATTGGACATGGTCCAGTTCAGGGTAAAAAGATCAAATCTAAACATTGGCACAGAGCCACATGAGTGTGGATGGGAAGTGTGTTTAAGAGCATCACGTTCTGCTCTGTTATATCTGAGGCAAATGTATTTCCATAGTGTGTGTGTGTTTTTTGTTTTTTTTTCATGCCACCCGGATCACAGCATGATCTGGGTGGTCTTCCGTGAGCCCTTTCTCACTTTTGGCACCAGCCCAGGATGCCTTGCTTTGTCTCTGGGTACAGTATGTGTGTGGCAGGGGATTACTGTCTTAATGAAAGTTTTTTAAAGAGAAAAAAGAGTGTTTATTTCATATTATACCTCCCTGAAAGTAATTCTGCCAGTACTCTTGAATTGACCTTCAATTTCCTCCTGAAGGCTCATCTATCTTCTTTTTTCAATGAAAATGATGCACCTTACAGCACTTCTTATCCCGTAGTCTCTTTATTTACATTCTCAACCAAAAAATGAAATACCTTAATTTTGGAACTTCCTGGCTGGTCATTTGTGCAGATATAATATAATTTGTGCAGATATAATATATACTGTAAGTCTACCCTTGTCTCTCACTTTTTTCCATTCAGACAATTTGTACTGTATAGCATACTGTAAGGATACATCTTAAACCAAAACAGATCATAGAAGGAAATGTTCATTCTCTCTAACCTCTCCCAGGCCTTTTCAAAAATAACTTGGCACCGTGCTTCAGCCCAAGTGCTGTGTGGCCTCGCTGGTGTTAAAAAAGTAGCTCTTTGCTTGTCAGATTATGGGAGAAAACCAAAAAGCTTTCATGTGTTAATGGTGTTTTAAATAAATATGCCTTGGTGTGGATGCTGTGCACAAGAAGGGAGCTGAATGAAGAATTTATACCGATAATTGAAAAGACCTTTTTATGTCTGTGGCATCTGTGAAATCATTTCAATTTGGATTGACTTTCATGTGATGCAGCCTAGTGATAAAATAAATCTCAGAAGAAATCTTGATGAAGTTGCAGAATGTATTTGATTTATATAACTTAAAACTGCGTGACGCGGTGGCACAGTTGGTAGTGCTGTTGCCTCACAGTAAGAAGGTCCCTGGTTGGGCTCCGACCTTCGTTCATACCCTTCTCCCAAAGACAGGAACGAAAGTAACACAACAATATTGGCTAGATTTACTGGCTTAGTCTTGTTTATTTTACGTATATCTGACTATGACCTTGTTAATGTTAACAGCAAACATATTTTGTCCTTTATTTTTGCAAAAAATTATTAAACAGCATTTTCATTTTAAATTTCAATTCTCTCAAATGTTTAAAAAGCAATCTAATGATGCAAATGTAACATTTTTTGAATATTTTATTATTATTATTGGCAATTTGGAATAATTTTTTAAACATTTTTAAATCCAAACACTGCAAACTCTAATGTGGAAGCGAAAAATAAGGTTTGCATTAGCAGTGGGGCATAAATAACAGCATTACTTTCATCCCAACAGGATGTGTTATTTCACTAAACAACCTTTAGATTGATCATTAGTGTGACATCAAAACAGAAACACAACTTGTAAAAAAGAACCACTACAATAATTACTGTTTGCACCAAAAAATCTGAAATTTGGAGCTAAGTGGAACAAAATAACAAAATAACATGATATTTGGTAGCTCCATCAAATGTTGCATGCAAAATGTGTTGTTATAGCCTGGAAAGCAAATATTGTCGAGGCTTCGAGAAAAACACTTTGTCACTGTCGTCCCACGTTACTTTCGTCCCCACTCTCCTGTAATTATGCTTTTCATTGAGTAAAAGAAGTTTGGTTTGACGTTAGAGTCACGTGAACCATTGCAGCATGCGAAATCAGCTCTAGAGATGCATTAACATAAGGGTGAGCAGCCTATAAAACACAGTTTAAATATAAATGTGATGTGAAGGCTATTAGTAGGAGAAATGGTTAGACAGACTCCACATTCAGATGGCCAGGTAGTTGCTCATGAAGTGTATTTGGGGAAAATTACCTTTAAAATTGCTAGCCTGATTCAAACTGGCCAGGCGTGAATCACTGTCTGGTTCTCAGATGTGTTTATTTTCTCTTTTCTCAGGTTGTCTGTTACCCTCTCTTGTCCACTGGACTTGACTCTCTTCCCCATGGATACCCAGCGATGCAAAATGCAGCTTGAGAGCTGTACGTAAATATGGAAATAATCATTTTGAAAACAATAATAAATAAAGAAGATAAATGAAATGGGAAAGGGTGTTTACATTGCTTCAATACTTCACTATTGTTAGTTAAAACACAGCCAAAGATGAAGGAATTATTAATAATAAAAAAAAATGTAGACAAAAAAAAATCATAAAAATGCATGCAAAATATATACCACTGATTAATCTTTTTAATATTACCATTTATAGAAAATGTAAGGACGAACTGTCTAGCCTAAATTTAATTTAAAATACAAATTATGTAATTTTAAAAGGTCATTATTTTATTTATTTGATGTACTAGATAAGGTTAACACATTATTTTTCACAAAATCTACAGCAATCTGTCTAAAACAGTTTAGTTTATTATTTAGTGTATTAGTTTGTTATGTACTGTAGGAATGAGTATACAATACTAATATTACTTAAAGGAGATTAGTTTACAGTCCTGAGTATTTATGCATTTTTAAGCTAAATCACATTTATATTAGTGGGCACAGAACCCAGAGTCCTTTCAATGTTTGGGAGATAATTGCAGAACAAAACTACCAACGAACCTCCACATATTCAATGTGCTCTATATAATTATATACTCAATACACAAAGACACTTTCTTAAACATGTAATATACACCTACAGAAATGGCCAAGATTATTCATACCCCTAGCAAATTGTGTCTAAAGCTACTTTTATTCAACAAGCAAGTTTTTTTTTTTTTTTTTTTATTGAAAATGACGCAGACATTTAAAGGACTTGCGAGATTATTGCAAGGAAAATCAAAAGGATGTGGCATTTATGCATGCTTCTGAGAGCTTTTTCAGTTCTAGAAAACATGAAATGAATGTGTTATAGAGCAGTTATATGTTATAGTACATGTAACTGGCATTCAGTGTACAAAAAAAATAACAATTACGTCCTCTAAAGTCAATGTGTCATATAAAAAAATGGATTCATTTAATTTAGTCTTAAATACATTAGGTGTGCAAGAAATAATTTGCTGTCTGCAATTCATATAGCGACCACACCTAATATCATACCACTAATAACAAGGGTTTCAGAATTCTATATAGTCTGTAAAGTGCACAAGTTATGCTCTATAACATGAATGACGAACAAAGAAATAAAGGCAGGTTAAGGTTTTTTCTAACAGATATTAGGATGATGTATAAGAGGCATTGTTATGAAATATACTATATATATATATATATATATATATATATATATATATATATATATATATATATATATATATATATACATGTATACTATATATTTCAGCTTTTATTTACATTTAAACAAAAACTTTAAGTCAGAATTTCCCAATCGTGTGAATAATTTCGAGCTTGACTGTAAATATTACCAGTTTGAAAGAACACTATACACTATATAAGGTATATAGGGCAACTATGTTTATACGTCTTTCCAAACAACTCCTTAACTCTTTTCATTTCGACTGTAAAGTAGTAATGATGCGCCCCTTTTAACAAAACTGCTTTGTATCAATACTTATTGTGAAAAGCACTATACAAAAAATAAACTTGAAATAAATATATTATGATACCTGGCCCTCAACGAACAGTACAAAGTAAAAAAAAAACAACGTAGTTCATGTCCCCTTTCATTTAAGAGCCAGCATATATTATTGTTATGCATTTATCTTATCTTTTATCTTCATAGTTGGTTACACCACAGATGACCTGCAGTTCATGTGGCAGTCTGGTGACCCCGTGCAGATGGATGAAATTGCTCTGCCTCAGTTTGATATTAAGCAAGAAGACATTGAATATGGCAACTGCACCAAGTACTACGCAGGGACAGGTAAAAGGCTTTCCCTTTATACTAATAGTGTGTATAAGCTTCCTCTGTGGTCTCATTGAGGAGGAGGTAGCAATACATTTCAATGTGAGTCTAACATTTATACACGATGTACAGTTGAAGTCAGAGTTATTAGCCCTCCTGTATTATAAGTCCCACTGTATATTTTTTCTCCAATTTCTGTTTAACGGAAAGAAGATTTTTTTCAACACATTCATAAACATAATAGTGTAAACGAGTCGGGGTACAACAGAGTTGAGGATCTAAATGCAGTTTATTAGGAGAATTGTCAGGCAGGCAAAAACAGGGACAGAGAGGAGCAAGCAGATAATCCAAAACCGTTGTCAGAGTATAGATGAATGGTCAGGATGGCTCACAAGAAACTGAGGTTTAGACACAGTGTCAAGATCCCGAAACGGAAGTGTTTTAAAAACACTGCACCGCATCATGACCTGAAACATCCAGACTAAAGTGACAAAAGTGATTCAAAAATTTCAAAATCAATTAAAAAAATCTGTCATTTCTGAAGCATTTTGAGACCTGGCAAATCTGTGTTTGACTGACAGGGTCAAAAAAAATCTATCTCATATAGCCTAGTGGACTGTGCATGTTCACATCCCAACTTGTACAAATATTTTGAAATTATGTCTTGGTGTATTTTAATAACATTACTGTTTTATGACCAAACCAAGACATATTTGATCACAAAGTGTTCATTCAGATGTCAGACCAATGATAAAACAAAACACGTTATAAAAACAAAGCATTTAAAAACTAACATCTATAGCTGGATTCGAACCCATTATCTCTGCATGCTAGTCAGAAACTCTCACCGCTTTGTGGGATTTAAAATCTGAATTTGCTGAACTGTTTCTTTGCTGAAGCTGTTCCAGAGCAATACATAAAAAATGACCATTAGTTGTTGCTGTAGAGACAGGTTTCAAAATGTTTTGAAGCGTTGACACATTTGCTTGTGTCGACTGTTTTAGTGTTTCATGAAGCCTCCCAAGCAAATGATCAGGACAGGTGGCAAAACAACATAAACAGTAAAACAAAGCAAAGGTCAAAACACAACAAGTAAACGCTTAGAAATGCTCACTTACAGTTTAACAAGACTCAGCCAAGAGTGTGTAAAATAGGTTTTTATAGTCCTACTAATCAGTCTATCATGAGCTACCAGTTATGTGTGTGTAATCAGGGGGAAATCAGGAACTGGTGTGTGAATGCAAAAACTTCTGGGAGTTGTATTTCATATAGTGGCAGATGTGTAGTTCTTCAGCAATTTGCACAGGCTGGATTGCTGATGATTGTGACAAATATTTTTAATAACAAATTTTTAATTACTGAATTCTTTATCTTTGCCATGGTATTTGACTAGATATTTTTCAAGATAATAGTATTCAGCTTAAAATGCAGTAAGTTAGGGTAATTAGACAAGTCTTTTCAAAACGATGGTTTGTTCTGTAGACAATCTGGGAAAAAATGCTCAAGAGGCTCATAAAACAAATAAGACTTTCTTTAGAAGAGAAATAATAGGAATAATCTTTTCAACTTCTTTTGGGAAACACTTGAAAAAAAAATCATAGGAGGGCTAATAATTTTGACTTCAACTGTAAATCAGCTTCTTCTCTATGACAGGCTACTACACGTGCGTGGAGGTGATTTTTACTCTGAGGAGGCAGGTGGGCTTCTACATGATGGGTGTTTATGCACCCACCCTGCTCATCGTTGTCCTTTCCTGGCTCTCCTTTTGGATTAATCCTGACGCCAGCGCTGCCCGTGTGCCTCTGGGTACTTTTTTTCAATCATCAGTCCTGCCACAAGCATCAGCACCTCATCACATGTGTCTGTGGAGTCCTGTATCACCCTAAACGAACCCATCCTTTATATTTTTCATCATTCACCATTTCTCCAGTGAGTCTTTTTTTTCTGTGGCTGATTTCAAGAGGTTTAGGGTGATTATTTTTGTCCCCCTCAGCTCCAAATCTTCTTTTCATCAATTGTTTACCCAAAGGCATCTCTGAGGAAATGTAATGCATGTTCTGGATATTTCCCATCAGCCTCAGCTATAGCCCGCAGGCGTTATTTCGCTATGGGATCCACAGAGGTCAGCGAGAGAAGATTATCTGAGATAAGATGAAGATTACAAAAGATGCCGTGACAGTTCCTTGTGTTTTCCGGTTATAGACTGATATCGCTGATAAATGCATGCGCCGTTTTCATGCAGCGTGCTTATTTCTTGTGCACTAGAAAAAGCAAAGCAAACCAAATGTTGTGCTGTGATTTGGTTACAACTGGATTTCTTCTGCAATTCCATTGGCGATGCCAGTCATCATTCATTCTGTCCACATTGTTGTCCTTGTTGCAGTTTAATGTGATCACATCACGTGTCATCTCGAAATGCCACTTTCCATGGTCTCATATCCATTCCATTTCAGGTCAGTCACAATAATGCAGTTTTTGAATGTTTGAGAATTAATCTTTAGATTTTTTGTCATATTTTGTGGGAAAAGATTTAAAAGATTATAAGATTAAAATATTGATTAAGTATTAATAAATAATATCAAATTTAAATATTTAATAAATAAACGAGCAGGTATTTATAAATATATCTTTTGATTTTATTATAACTAAAATATATTCTAACAAATGCATTTTGTTGTAAAAAACTTTTTCATTTGTTTCAAACATAATTCTTTCTTAGCCTTTTTTAGAAATTAATCAATTGATTCCACAAAGATATTAAATTAATCAAAGGTTTGTGAAGACATTTGTAATGTTACTAAATATGTATATTTTAAATTTAAACAATATTTTACCGCCGGGCAGCATGGTGGCGCAGTGGGTAGCACAATCGCCTCACAGCAAGAAGGTCGCTGGTTCAAGCCCCGGTTGGGTCAGTTGGCATTTCTGTGTGGAGTTTGCATGTTCTCCTCGTCTTTGCGTGGGTTTTCTCCGGGTGCTTCGGTTTCCCCCACAAGTTCAAAGACATTCGGTACAGGTGAATTGGGTAAGCTAAAACTGTCTGTAGTGTATGTGTGTGAATGAGAGTGTATGGGTGTTTCCCAGTGATGGGTTGCAGCTGGAAGAGCATCCACTGCGTAAAACATGTGCTGGATAAGTTGGCGGTTCATTCCGCTGCGGTGATCCCTGATTAATGAAGGGACTAAGCCAAAAAGAAAATGAATGAATGAATGAATTAATTTTTGCCACCAAGACATAACTACCTTTATTCATTTAACCTAAATTTATTACAGCTCTTACCATTAAAATGAAATGCGAAAATGGATGAAAAGTAAAACATCAACAACAAATACATTATCAGGAGCATTAACTAATGATTCTAGTCATAATCTTGCTTCCCTAATGTATGGAATACTGTTTCTGGGTCCAAGTCACTACTTATTTGAATTGAGAAAGTGTTTTTTTTTAAGTTGATTTTTAACTTTTTAGTCTTAAAACACATTAAAATGAATATTTAACATAATAATGATGAACGCAAAAATCCCTGGACTTACTACATTACAGAGACCAATATTTCAATATTTTAACAATTTATAAACATTGCATCCCTTTCTGGCCTTCTGACATCAGGCATGAATATATATATATAAATATATATATATATATATAGCGATCCGGATTTGCGAAAGTTTTAGAGTGTTTTGTAGACGTTTATTGGTACCATTTGTTGAGCCACCCCATACAGTTTGCACCCGGAAGCTGCTTTGCATGACATCAGACTTTACTTTTCAATTAATCTTTATTTCCAGAGTGATTTTACAATGTGCAGTAGATTGTGTCAAAGCAGCATAACATAGATATTCTAGTAAATTTCAGTCCAGTTAACAAGCCGATCCTGTTTGTAAGATGTAGGTTATAATTTCTATCCCATTTTAATCAGTGTGTAATATCATTTTATTGGTAACAATTCATACTATTCCCTTTCAAAACCACTAAATCCCTTTCAATGGAAAATTTAATTTCTGATCGTCATAATGTATGAAAATAGAACAAAATATACATCAGTAGTTACAAAGAAATCCTAAATGTCATTTGCACTGTTCTAATATATTTACCGATTCTTTAATATTATGTTTGCTTCGGTCTTATCTGTAGAAAGGGGATCAGATCAATGTGTAAGCTCATCTCTCCTCAGCTGATTTGATGTAATGAGTGCTCTGTCTCTGTCTGCAGGGATTCTGTCAGTGCTCTCGCTCTCCTCTGAGTGCACGTCTCTGGCCTCTGAACTGCCCAAAGTCTCCTATGTAAAGGCCATTGACATCTGGCTGATTGCCTGTCTGCTCTTTGGCTTCGCCTCTCTGGTGGAGTATGCCGTGGTTCAGGTGATGCTCAACAGCCCTAAACTGTTGGAGGCGGAGAGAGCAAAGATCGCCACCAAGGAGAAGGCGGAGGGAAAGACCCCTGCTAAAAACACCATCAACGGCATGGGGAGCACCCCTATACACGTCAGCACACTCCAGGTCAGTTTCAATCAATTGACTATACATGCACTGCAAAATTTGTGGTGTTATTTATGCTCACCACTATATTTGTGTCCGATATGATCACACTCACAGCGCATTTAAATGAAAATGAAACTAAATGACATCGCTATTTTTCTAAAGTATAAATTAATACTGTTTATGATGCATCCGATGATGCCTCAAACTGTGTTTTGTTCCTTTAAATCTGCGTTGTGTCTGTCTCTGTATCTTTTCTGTACATTTATTCACGGCTTCACTATGTTTGCCATGGCTGCAAACTATAGGACATTCAGCCTATTACTAGTGATCAGAAAATTCCCCCCAAAACAACAGTATTTAAAGAAATTACATTCTGGTGATGTGCTGAACCATAAAGTCTAGTAATAACCTACTCTACTTTGTTCACAACCCACTCCAAACAGCCAAGCTCTCAGGGCATTTATAGTGAAGACTATCACTACTACTTCACATAGGTGATGTGTCAGTCAAAATGTATTTGAAGATGAAGTGTCCCTGATCACAGAAAGTGATGTACATCTTAGAAATTTCCACAGGACATCCACAATATTTATTTGTGTCATAAACATGGCAGCTCACACACAGCGCCCCACATGACCCACAAGAGGGAGAGCAACACATAAGTGCATCAACAAATACAGAAAGCAAATCCCAGGGCATTTCTGGCTAGATCATTCACCACAGTACGGGCGAGTGACGATCTGTTAATCAAGTTAGATTACAATCCAGCATTACTAGGCATGTTTAAGGGAACATTGAATGCATGTTGAACTGTGCACGTTTGCATTTTTTCTCATGACAATAGGAAAAACCTACAAGTAGCAGCATACTTCATTTTGGGTAGAGCAAATAAGATTAAGGGATCGTTTAAAAGTGCAAAGGGGCTATTTTATTTGTTTAACCATGATTATAACAGAAATCTATTATAATATTATAATAATTGATATAGACAGGTAGATAGTCATACTTAGACATGGGCCAGTATAAGATTCTGACAGTATGATAACCTTTCATAAAAATATCTGGTTTCACGATATTGTGATTACTGCTCTAAAATAGGTTATTTTTAAATGTCTGGGTAAAAACTAAAACTTTTTTTTTCCCTTTGAAAACAATATATTGTATTTTTGAAAGATTTATAATATTTTGGAGCAGTAAACATGTCAGGCTAAGTAATTCAAATTAGTAATTTACTTCTGCTTTCTTCATTAGTTTCAAAAACACAGCTTTCTTTACAATTTAAAACAGCATTCTGGGATATATATTTTTTTGTTGTTGCTGGAGATACTGTTGTCCTAAAAAATAAAACAAAAAAATGTAAACATAAAATCTTACTTATACCTTAGGAACAGTATAGTAGAAAATGTTGCCGGTATTAAAACCTTTACTTTTCCAAACCACGGTATACCTTGAACACGGTTATCGTCCCAAGCCTAGTCATACTTTGATAAAACTAACATTCTTTGATAGGTCTTTGATATAACTGATACATACTTTGTAAGTACTTTGATAATATTTACTTTATGGACATGGCACTGACATTTGTTTTTCTTAAGAATCCCTGGTTTTACTATTATCTTGTTTTAATTTTAATTCAATTGATATATATTTTTGGAAATATAACATTTTCCTGTTCAAAATATTATAGGTAAAAACATAATTTTTTTCAAATTAACTTAAATTCCATAAAATTTTACCAGATCAAAAGTTTATTTAATTCAAAACTTTTGAATAAAAGAGTATCATTTACAACAACAACATTTACAATAACACTAAGCAGCACTATTGTTTTCAACTTGAATAATAATAAGAATTGTTTCTACAACAGCAAATCAATATAATAGAATTATTTCAAACTGAAGACTGGGATAATGATGCCTTAACCTTGCCCTTAAATACTGTTCTGAGCATATATAAGTACACCCCTCTCAAATCTCTCTTTTAAATTCATATTTCTAATAGGAAGCTATACAATAATATATATGTGCATATACATTAGATTAGTCAGTACTGAAGCCAAATCTGGTGCTTATCTAACAAAATAAGTTACGATAACTATCCAAAAACTAGTACAGCCAAATTTATGTTCTAGAAAAATATTAAATACAAATTTAAAAAGAGGGAAAAAAATCAAGAGAGGCGAAAAAGGGAAAAATTTAGTTGAAATTTTGTAGGTTGTAATTTTTTTTTTTTTTGTGATATTTTGCTTGAATTTAATTGTATTATCTTTTAATTTCTAAATATGATTTTAAATAAGTTTAATAAATCAATTTTGTTTAAATGCACCAAAAAACATTGTCTATATTCACTGAGAAATGGATACAAATATTAATTTTCAAAATGGGGTGTACTCAATTATGCTGAGCACTGTAATAATATTAAATAATAATAATAATAAATTATATTGTACAAGTAGATTACAGCAAAAACTGTTCATTTAAATGGTGGTGATATTACTGTGTTATGCATTTTTTAACTGAAAATGTAAATAATTACAAATCAGTTTCAATTAATTAATATTATTTTTGATAAAAATATTTGATGAGCATAAAAGATCACTTTTAAAAACATTAAAAAACATTTTAGTGGTAGTGTAACAATGTAAATATGAACATTAATATATTAACTAAGTAAATATAGATATTATCTATATTTGTTATTAAACCAATGATAATTATAACTAATACCTTATTATATATTATCTTAATTGTATAATTTATAATACATTTATTTGGTATAATTTACATTCTGAATTTAAAAATTAAACAGACTTGACACAAACTGTAATTACACATTACTAAAAAAAGATGAGCAGCACATGTGGATGCATATTATGCTTAGCTGTGTGATTTTAGCTTTTTAAAGATTGGCTTTTTTTTATTCACTTGTGTTCCATCCCTGCAGTTATATAATGTAAAATCATGCGCTGCTAATGTCAGGTCTGCATGCAGAAGTGTAGGTGGGATAATCACAGTACTTCATGTTCTTCAGAAAACAGACAGTTTTATAGCAACAATTGGAAAAGGAGCTTGAAGGCAGGGATAGTCTGACAGACAGGAGAAATAGGCTGAATAATGTGCTCTCCTCAAGTCTATTATAAGCTTTAAATTGGCCCCAGAGGGAGGCTTTAGGATGCACTGTGTTTTCTACCACTGTCACACATTTACTTACAGACCGGACACTCGACAGCTACCAGATGAAAATATGACCCCAAATTAACCCACATGCTCTTTGAACAACCACTGAAAGTTACTGACCTCCGCGAAAACCTCATTCATTGCTTTCAATTAGAGCAGTTTGGAAGCATCCCAAAGCTTGTTTTCTTCAGACACGGGGAATGCCTTTGAGCAGACACTATTTATCAGCAGAGATACTCTCTTTTCTGCCATCATTTTTGCCTTTATTGTGATAGGACAGTATACAGTTAAAGTCAAAATTATTAAAATAAAAAAATATATAAAATTATAAATATTTCCCAAATGATGTTTAAAAGAGCAAAGAAATTCTCACAGTATGTCTGATAATATTTTTTTTCTTCTGATGTAAGTCTTATTTGTTTAATTTTGACTAGAATAAAAGCAGTTTTAATAATCAAAAAAATGAAGGTCAATAATATTAGCCCCCTTAATCATTTTTTCCCCAATTGTCAACAGAACAAACCATCATTATACAATGACTTGCTTAATTACCCTAACTTTCCAAATAACCTAAATAAGCCATTAAAGTTTAGGCTGAATGCTATCTTGAAATATATCTAGTATAATATTATTTACTGTTATCACGACAAAGATAAAATAAATCAGTTATTAGAAATGAGTTATTAAAACTGTAATGTATTTAAAAATATTTCAAAACTTCTTTCCATTAAACAGAAACTGGGGAAAAATAAACAGGGGGACTAATAATTCTGACTTCAACTGTATTGAGGAAGTGAAGCTCTATAATATGTTGGCATTAACAGGCTGTATTTTAAATAAATCCATTTAAAAGGCATATTTACTTACTTTTGAGTAGTTTGTATTTTGATTAATCAAGTTATAATCAGATGTATTTGAAATTAAATACTCAGAGTATTCCAGCTTTTTATTTCTCTTGACAATAGCTGCCTGATATCTGCATATAATACATATTTTAGGAGTGCTTGTTATAAAAGTAGTCATTGTTTGTTGAGTCTAATGAGTTGATGTAATCTGCACAAATTTAGCACACATAATCAACTCTGGAGTCAATATGAATCTTAAATATCGCCGAATAAAGTATATGCATACAGACTTTTAATTTTGGTCAGCCAGCCCCAGGGCTTCAGGTGAATTCTCATTCAAAAAAGCCGAAATTAAGATCTGACTTCTTTAAGAAACTGTGATCTTCACTGCCTGACTGAGATACGATAAATGTGGGTATCAGACTAAGCAAGTAGCACTGCATTCAATTATATTTTTCGCACCATGTCTTAAAAATATGGAAATTATTTTTACCCCAGTTTCTTTAATGGAATTTCTGCGCTAACCTGCTGCTAATGACGCCACCTGCGTTACACGGTATTTTGTCTCTTTATACACTTTAACAACCAAATGTATGCTTAGGTCCTGATTATACTGTATCTGAATTACATTACAACCACAATGCTGTAACAGGAACCAAATGAAATTGAAAATAGTAACATAAAGCTCTCACCGGAAGTTCATCATTGGATGAAAAACACTAGCTGTGCATACAGCCCTTTGCTGAGAACTTGTCTCTCTTGCTGAGAACTGTCTCTAAGCAACACATAGAGCTGCGGTGGTTTGTTTGCTTTAAAGGAAACTACTCTCTGTAAAATGAGAAGAACCACATACAGTAGCAACAAATAAGCCAATCCTGCAGTTTTTAGCAGACCTTATTCTATCCTGCCTGTTTGTACTTTCTATAAGCCCACTGTTTGTTATTTCAAAGCAGTGTTTGATTCTGCCTCAAACAGCTGGCAGTGCAATATGAACTTAACTTCAGTTTTATTTATGCTTTAAAGCTACACTGAAAAAAATGTATCATTAGATTTACAAATTCATTTTCCTTCAGCTTTAGTCCCTTATTTATCAGGGGTCGGCACAGCGGAATGAACTACCAACTATTCCAGCATATGTTTCACCCAACGGATGCCGTACCAGCTGCAACCCAGTACTGAGAAACACCAATACACTCTCACATTTACATGTACACTAAGGCCAATTTAGTTTATCCAATACACTTATAGTGCTATATATACACTCACCGGCCACTTTATTAGGTACACCAATCCAACTGCTCATTAATATAAATTCATTAAATCAGCCAATCACATGGCAGCAACTCAATGCATTTAGGCATGTAGACATGGTCAAGACGATCTGCTGCAGTACGAACCGAGCATCAGAATGTGGAAGAAAGGGGATTTAAGTGACTTGGCATAGTTGTTGGTGCCAGACAGGCTAGTCTAAGTATTTCAAAAACTCCAGATCTACTGGGATTTTGACGCACAACCATCTTTAGGGTATACAGAGAATGGTCTGAAAAAGAGAAAATATCCAGTGAGCCGCAATTCTGTGGTCACAATTGGCTTGTTGATACCAGAGGTCAGAGGAGAATGGCCAGACTAGTTCGAGCTGATAGAAAGGCAACCGTATCTCAAATAACCACTCCTTACAATCGGGGTATGCGGAAGAGCATCTCTGAATGCACAACACATCCAACCTTGAGGCGGATGGGCTACAGCAGCAGAGGACCACACCGGGTCCCATTCCTGTCAGCTAAGAACAGGAAACTAAGGCTACAATAATGTCATAAAGCACGAATTATCTCAAGACTGGTTTCTTAAACATGACAATGGGTTCACGGATGTGGTGGAACGAGAGATTTACCACGTGGATGTGCAGCCGACAAATCTGCAGCAAATGCGGGATGCTATAATGCCAATATGGACCAAAATCTCTGAGGAATATTTCCAGTACCTTGTTGAACCTATTCCACAAAGGACTAAAACAGTTCTGATGGCAAAAGAGGGTCCAACCCAGGACTATTAAGGTGTACCTAATAAAGTGGCCAATGAGTGTATACCGATTTTGGGTATATACTATGGGGGAAACCAGAGCACCCAGAGGAAACCCACACGAACATGAGGAGAACATGCAAACTCCACACAAAAATGCCAACTGGTCCAGCCGGGGCTCGAACCAGTGACCTTCTTGGTGTGAGGAGAAAGTGCTAACCACTGAGCCACCATGCCACCCTAGTTTTACAAATAAAATTACAAAAAATAATAACTGGTTGCAATGTACTGCAAACAATTATACAATTATTTAAAAAAAAATACTTGTGTTGGTGAAAATGCTTGTAAACACAGTCAGTTACATTTTAAGCGTACATTAAAAAGCGGAGAAATAAAAAACAAGAGTATACACTCAACAAAATGACTGTTTTTAATGACTAAAATGACTAAAAACTACTTCTTTAAAAGGAGCTGAAGCAGCTCAAATCTTGAGTTTGGGAGATAACCTGATTGTTTTATGCTCAATCTACTTACATTTGTAAAAACTAAGTTAACTTAGTTCCTTTAAGTTGTTCTAACACAAATCAATTTTGTGGAACCCAGCATTTTTTACAGTGAATGATCCGCTCATTCATTTTAAAGTGGCAGCAGCCTACAAACCATTTTAAAATGACTTGTATTTTATCATTTTTGACCCATTTTGTGTCCGTCTATATCTACGAGCAAGATTCGAAAGCTCAAATACTGTATTTGACAAGCAGTTTGCTAAATCTCACACACTAGAAGAGACATCAAGCTGTTTGAGGATTTAAGTGTTGTGTGCCCAGTGGGAAGTGGTGCAGTCCAGCACGGCATGGCTTCTGCCCCTTTCCACACATCCAGAACTAATACAACAGACAAGCTGGCATTAGAGCATCAGACATCACTTACTGAGACATCCCTCTGCTCTGTTAGTCAGAGAGAGGGAGAAACAGACAGTGCGATGTCACATCACTTCCTTATGCTTGTCTTGCCCAGTTCTATTTTTAAGCAAGGTAGGTGTTCCTTCACACCACTTCTGCTTTCGTCCCGTTGTTCCTGTGTGGAGGGTGACGCTTCACTGCTTCTGCCCTGTTAGGGCTTCAGGAAGAGCCAAAAATAATTGGCTGTCCTCAAGCTCTCCCCTTTTCCCAGCAGCTGAGTGTGTCGGAAGAGAAAGGAGGGTTTGTGCCTTTACATGAGGGACAAAAGTCAAAGGGAAACGTTTAATCAGATTTGGTTGGAGTTGTCCATGTCTGATGCCCGAGTGAGTATCATAATGCATAAATGATCCGCCTGCCAGCTAGTGTTTGTTCATTTCCTAATTATACAAATGAAAGTACCTAAGTGTGAAATTAAAGAGATAGTTCAATCAAAAATGAAATGATCAAAAACTCACGCTTACATTGTTCATAACGAGTAAGATTTTCTTCAGGGCAGTTTAGTAGAGAAGTACTGTGTATATTTACTTCATTCAGTGTGGGAAATAAGTATTGAACATGTGACCATTTTCTCAGAAAACATATTTTTAAAGGTGCTGTTGGCTTGAAATTTTCAGCAGATGTTGGTAATCACCTAAGAAATCCACACATACAACATACAGTTGAAGTCAGAATTATTGGCCCCCTTAATTTATTTATTTTCTTTTTTCAATATTTCTCAAATTATTTTTAACAGAGCAAAGAAATTTTACACAGTATGTCTGATAATATTTTTTCTTCTGGAGAAAGTCTTATTTGTTTTATTTCGGCTAAAATAAAAGCAGTTTTAAATTTTTTTTATAATCATTTTAAGGTCAAAATTATTAGCCCCAATAAGCTATATATTTTTTCGATAGTCAACAGAACAAACCATAGTTATACAATAACTTGCCTAATTACCCTAATCTGCCTAGTTAACCTAATTAACCTAGTTAAGTCTTTAAATGTCACTAAGTTTTATGGAAGTGTCTTGAAAAATATCTAGTCAAATATTATTTTCTGTCATCATGGCAAAGAAAAAATAATTCTCTCGGTTAAACAGAAATTGGGGAAAAAAATAAACAAGGGGGGCTAATAATTCAGGGGGGCTAATAATTCTGACTTCAACTGTATGTTTAGTCACGTTTTTAAATGCAACAGTTTAAAAAATATAAACATAGATGTAATAAAATAACTTACAGTACTTATTTGTTTGTCTTCTTTCTTTCTTATTATTAATTTTTTATTTGGACAGAAATACATCTATAGCTTTTTTGAGGGGACTTCCTATAAGTGTTGTCATGATACTGAATTTCCGTACCAATAGATACTGTAATTTTAAAAACATCCATTTCAGTCATTTCTATTAAGCAGGTGTACACAATGGCAAATCAGTTGTGTTTAAGAATGCACTCAACAGCTCTCAAATGTTAGTGGCAAATGGATGTTTACAAAATTTCAGTAGCGATTGGTGATATCTTTTTTCGGGTAGTGTATATCACCAAACTATGACTGGAAACAATCTGATAATGACAGAAAAATGACCAAAAAAAGTCAAACAAACAAGCAAAAGACTTTTTTTGTGATTAATGAGCCGTTTTTGTCATATAGGGAACACAAAAATAAATGTCTCCATAAGGTCAAAATTTACTAGTATTGCTATACTATGTTTTAGAGAAATATTCAGAAATTATGTCCTTCCAAACAAGCATCTGTATTGGCTTCTTTCTTAAATAAAACACAAGTAAACCCTAGAAAGTCTAGACCACGGGTGCTCAATCCTGTTCCTGGAGATCTACCTTCCTGCAGATTTCAGTTGCTACCCATATCAAACACACCTGCCTGTAATTATCAAGTGGTGTCAGGTCCTAATTAATTGGTTCAGGTGTGTTTGATATGGGTAGCAACTGAAATCTGCAGGAGGGTAGATCTCCAGGAACAGGATTGAGCACCCCTGGTCTAGACTGTTTTGTCTTTTGTCTGTTGGTCACTATTCACCTTCAGTGAACAGAAGAGACAGCTTTGGGAATTATTAAACACAACTCCTTTTGTTTTTCACCCAAGAAAGTCAATCTTGCAGGTTTAGAATGACACGAGAGTGAGGAAATACTGACAGAATTTCATATTTGCCCAAATATCTCTTTAATGTATCAGAGAGAGGGAAAAAAACAGTCCAGATGTTGCAGAGATCTGACATGTTTTCTCTCTATTCATCTTTTTCCTCGCTCTCTTCCTCTTTATCTCTCTCAGGTGACAGAGACAAGGTGCAAAAAGGTATGCACCTCCAAGTCGGATTTGCGCACCAATGACTTCAGCATCGTAGGTTCTCTGCCTCGAGACTTTGAACTCTCAAACTTTGACTGCTACGGCAAACCCATTGAAGTCGGCAGTGCTTTCAGCAAATCGCAAGCCAAGAACAACAAGAAGCCACCACCTCCTAAACCTGTCATCCCTTCAGCTGCCAAACGCATAGATCTGTATGCCCGTGCCCTCTTCCCTTTCTCCTTCCTTTTCTTTAATGTAATTTACTGGTCTGTGTATTTGTGATTGCGTAAATATCATCCTGCTTCGATTCAACTCACTTTTCCCTCATTCCAATCGTCTCGGTCTGTATCATTTATACCTCTGACATCAAACGGAGCAGTTTACGCCAGGGTACAGATCCAAACTTTGGGATGAAATATAGAATTGCTAAATGGAAGACATATTTTACAAATTAAAGAGATTGAAGTTATTGCCTAAAATGATTCATTTTCAGCTACTATATATTTAATTTATGCACAAACCCGAGAGTTATTATCTTGCATGTGGAAATGGAATATGTGGATATTAATATATTGTATTTAAATGATATTATAGTATTTTTGACCTACAGATCAGCTGTTGAGATGATGCTGAAACATTTATACTGACAAACACTGCCATAAGAACTGTCTTTTGATGATGATCTTACTAATACAAGCATTCCAGAGATTACAAACAAGTGTAAAAAGCAGAATAAATAAAGCATCTTCTGTTCTTGTGAATCGAACACCAATAAATGGCCCAATGGCTCAGCTGACTTCATGGTCTTTGACTGTTTTTTCTTTTCTTTTTTAAATAGCTCGCTTAGGCTAATCATGTTCATTCATTTATTTTCCTTTGGCTTAATCCCTTATTTATCAAGGGTCGCCACAGCGGAATGAATTGCCAACTTATCCAGCATATTTTTTAAGCAGCGGATGCCCTTCAAGCCACAACCCAGTATTGGGAAACATCCATACACCATCACATTCACACATACACTACAGCCAAATTAATTCATCCAATTCACCTACTGTATAGCGCATGTATTTGGACAGTGGGAGAAACCAGAGCACCACTGTGCCACTTGCTAAACATGTTCTCAAATATAATTCTAGAAATGTATAATCAACGTAGTTTGCATTGCTGGGTGGATTTCCATAAATACAAATTACATAATGAAACTGTAACTAACATAATCTAGATTATGTATTTTATATAATGCAATGACTAAATTTCGGATTGCTTTTAGCTTTACTTTTCACCCTCATGTAGGAAAATCTCTGTATTATATGAACAATAGTTAATAATTATGAAAGTCTTCAAGGTCTGAGATATTTTTGTCAAGATTTTTACAATCCAAAATTGGCAAAGACACTTCTATATACTGTATAATGGAGCATTTCACAACTCATGAGTTTCACAACCATGTTACATTCCTTACTCCCAGGGCCGTTTATATATCAACGATGATATTTAGCCGAACCATATTGGTGTTTCATAACATCTAATGTTATTCGAGGTGGGTCATTAACCCAATGCTTAACCCCCAACCTGGAGGACCAGGACATACACTACTGACAATTTAGCTTACCCAATTCATCTATAGCGCAAGTCTTTGGATTGTGGGTCGGAGCACCTAGAGAAAACCCATGCAAACACGAGGAGAACATGCAAACTCCACACATAAATGCCAACTCATTCTTATTGGCGGCGCAATAGCCTATTGATTAGTGCTTGACTTATGGTACAGTAGCATTTCAGGGAGTCCCGAGTTTGAATCCCGGCTTGAGGACATTTCCCATCCCCACCCCTTCTCTCTCACTCCCATATCACTTCCTGTCTAAAATTACTGTTCAATTCATTTAATAAAGGCTAAAAGGCCAAAAATAAATCTTAAAAAAAAGCCAACTGACCCAACCGGGGCTTGAACCGGCAACCTTCTTGCAGTGAGGCAACAGCGCTAACCACTGTATCACCATGCCGCCCACATTTTCTAATTACTAGGACTCCAGATTCCATGCTATAAGATACAACCCAGCACTAAAGCTTTGTGAATAAAAAGTGATTAATGCTTAAATACAATCTTAAAGGTGCAGTACGTGATTGTCTTCAGAAACATGTTTTCTTATGCCAGTTGAAAGTCTCTTCACATTCCAATAGTAATGATTAAAGTAAATGATCTAAATGTATTTACATCTATTCTTTATATTCTAGCTAAGGCGTAAAACTAAAAAATGTTCATCCAATTAAATATTGTTGGACTGAAAAATAACTCGATTACGACAGGTATCTCGAACTATCTGTCAACAAATTTAAATTTACATTTCAGCACAGCCTTTTTAAGCAGACAGATGTCACTCGCGCGCACCTGTGAAATAAAACAAATAAGACTTTCTCCTGAAGAAAAAATATTATAGGACATACTGTGAAAAATTCCTTGCTCTGTTAAATATCATTTGGGAAATATTTAAAAAAAAGAGCAGGAAATATAAATCATTATTTTTGGTAATGTGAGTCACTGACCTAAGACACACAATACACAGCTGTCTGGGAGTCTGCGTCCGACCTGTTCCAGCGTCCAACCCAAGCTCCAGTATTCATTATACTGTGAAATATAGGCTTGCAGATTGACCTACGAATGTCTTTGCACTAGTTGGAAATATGAAATCTGTCTGGAATGTAATGAAGCGTGCTAAATGGAGAATGCCCCAGCCCTCACATTCACACAACAAATAGGCCATGTCAATAAATCCAAAAGAGAAAACCTGGGAGCTGTTTACATAAAAAGGGAAGGGCAGGAAGAAATCGTCTTGAACCTGACCGCATTTCTTCCCACATATTATCCTTTGTGTTTTATACACAAGAGTTGCAGAGCATGTGTCCAGTGGTTAGTTAGTTGCTATGGCAACAGACACTGAGACAGCTACTGCGTGATTTTGCTGATATATTTCACTGTCTCACAGGGTCGACTGTGTCTAGAGTCGGGTCTGCTTCAGGCACAACACTGCATGTGAAAAGAGGAAGAAATAACAGTTATCAATATATTTTACCAGTTGATTGATCTGTTGACTGATTAAGTTAAGAATCACACACATTAAATTTGCAAATAAGACCTTATGGTGGGTTGAGAAATCAACCGTTATGCTACACACAGTATACTTTTTCTTCTTAGACTATTTTAAGAATGCATCTTCTCCTAGACCGTTCATACTACAACCAACAAACTAACTCCAAACCTCCAAACTATACTGAATTAAGGTGCTCTATCTTTTCCAACTGATCCGTCTAATGATTTACCCAAATCTGTTCCGTAAAATTCAGAAAACTCCCATTGACTTAACATTGGACCTAACTTTCTGATCTCCTAACTTTGCGCCAGACTGTCATATAGACTTAAGGTTGGGCTCATTTAACTCAGACTACCAATCTGCCAATCACTGATGACTTACTAGCCACACCCTAGCAACCACTTACAGCACCCTAGCAACTGTCTCATAGACTTCTATTGTAAAAAAACTGCCATTGACTTTACATTGGACACACTAGTCATAACATACCAATTCATACTAGACAACGGCCTAGAACACCATAGCAACTCCCTAGCAACACTTTAGTAACCGCTTAGCAACTAATCAGAACAACCTGGCAACGACCTAAAACACCTTAGCAACCACCAAGAAACATCTTAGACACCATAGTAACCGCCTAGCAACACTTTATCAATCGCCTAGCAACAGCTTAGCAACCACTCAGAACACCTTAGCAACCACCAAGAACACTCTACCAACCATATAGCAATGCCTTACCAACCACACTGAACAACAAAGCAACTGACTAGTATCACCTTAGCAACCACCTAGCAACACCTTAGAAACCACTCAGCATAACCTAGCAACCACTAAGCAACCACTCAGAGCACCCTAGCAACTACCTAGCAACCACCTAGCAATACCTTGGCAACCACTCAGAATAACCTTGCAACCACTCAGAACACCCTAGCAACTTCCTATCAACACCTTAACAACTACCTCAAACACCCAAGCAACCACCTAACAACACCTTAGCAAGCACTCAGAACACCTTAGCAACTATTTAATAACACATTAGCAAACACTCATAACCAACCACCTAGCAAGAAACATACCAGTCCCAATTAGAAACACGCTAACCTATATGTACTTTTCTATGTGTGCCGACTCAAATTCTTAAAAACTCAATTATTTAAACTTTTAAACTACTTTAAACTTTCAGGCGAGGTTTTCTCAAGCCACCATAAAGTTTGTCTACAAACTTTACTTTTTTAGTTAAATATGTTCTAGTTTGGATACATTTTTTAGCACAAAAAAATCTGAACATGGATCAAGTGAGGATTCTGAATGAGGGGATGTTTTTTTTGATCACTCTTTAATTCTGAAAAAGTATATTGCAAACAACAAATAACACTGCAGACAAAAATAAACGTCAAAGAATATTTGTTTTAATAGATATAAGTAAAAAGTGGTTGGAATATTGTATGAAAGTCCTGCTGAAGTGAAGATTTATTATTATGTATGTATTAAAAACTATGTATTAAACTTGAAATCTAGACATAAATTAATAACGTGTTGGAAAAAAACAAAAGTGTATTTGAGATGTTTTCATTCCAATAAAAGCTGTTTTTGCCTCCAGTGTCTCACCTTTAGATATCTTTAAAACATTAGATTCAGACTGCTGGAGGAAATCATCTCAGTCAGTGCTTTCCCTATGAAACCTTCATCTGGATATGCTTTTGATTAGGCATTATGTATTTTAGGAAGCCCACTTTAACTTAAACTTGAAAGCCTCAGACTTCAAAATATTAAGATGCACTATAGAGCCCCCTAGGGGTACAGCCTATGAACTTGCTCACTAAAGAGACATAAATGAAGTAAAGATCAGTAACTGTGCAGTGTACAGACCATTTTGAGAATTGTAAACAATAACAATGATCATAACAAGCATTTCCTGTTTTACATTTTTAATTTCCCTAGCTTCAGAGATTCCAAAAAATGCCACGTATTGATAAACAATCCAATGGCAGATGTTTGAATGTAAAGTTATCATTGAATTGCCTCTTGCTACAGTTATGAAATAGTTTGACAACAAGCAGGAAATGTTTATGGGACATGACTACATTGAAATGGTCGGCCAAAGTTGGCCCATGGTAATCTTTGATTTGGCCCACCAACCCATCTGAAGAAAGAGAGAATAATGGGCATGGTTTTGAGACTGTAGTTTCTAATTAAATGTCATTTTTGTTTGTTTGTTTTATTGATAGTCCCCAAAAGCTAATGAAAGTTTAATGTTTCGATTAAATTAATTTTCTTAAATGCACATACTTTCACCTGATGGATAGAGTACAATATAGATAACATTGAGCAAATGGAGACAACAGCTGATTCTGCTTGTTTAGTGTATTCAACTCCACTGTAAAATGTGATTGTGTTTTTTTATTGTAATACGTTAAGATAAAAAGGTTATACTGCATTAGTTTATACGATTTTAAGTAAAATTTTCTATTTATTTTGAAATATTAAGAAATTAATTAGTTATAGCAACTTTAATGTAATATAGTAATATAGTGTATTTACCTTCGGCTCTTTAGTTTGGGATAGTTTGGGCACCCCTGGTATAGAAGTCATGGGAATACATGTGAAAGTGCTAAAAAAATCTAAGAAATATAGAAGTACGTCAATAAGTTTTCATTTTGCATTTTTTTGTTGTTAGGATGACACAAGTTTAATAAGTTAAAAGT